AGTAAGCTGTGAAGAGGACATTAGGTGACAAATGGATATGGATGGGTTAAATGGGTGAAAAAAAATCTGCAAATGGAGTACAATGTAGGAAAATGTGAAATTGTCCATTCAATAAAAAGAAGCATGTTGTCCAAATGGTGAGAAATTGCGGAACTCTGAGATGCAGAGGAATCTGAGTATCCTAATGCAAGAATCTCAAAAGGTTAGTATGCAGAATCAGGAAGTAATTATTAAAGTTAATGGTGTTGTTTATAGAGTCATGGAGTCATACAGCACAGAAACAGACCCTTCGGTCCAACCTGTACATGCCAAACATAATCTCAAGCTAAACTAGTCCCACCAATCTTTCTTCTCTCACCTTAAAAATGTGCCCCCGGTCTTGAAATACCCCATCCTAGGGAAAAGGCAACTACCGTTAACTCTATCTTACGATGAGGGAAATTGAATACATAAGTGGGGTAGTTATGCTTCACTAACATTGGCGAGACCTCTCATGGTGTATTTTATGCAATATCGTATTGTTATTGAAGGAATGAAGGAAACGTAAGTGTATTGGAAGCAGTTCAGATGTTTACTAGACTAATACTTGGAATGTGTGACTTGTATTATTGAAGAAAGGTTAGGCAGACTAGATGTGTATCCACTGGATTTAGAAGAGGCAGGGTGAATGTGGAAAGTCTATTTTCCCTTGTGTGGAAATCCAGAACTAGGCGTCACTTTACAAATAAACTGTTGCCTATTTAAGACAAAGATGAGTTTTTTTTGGCCATGGCTATGAGTCTTTCACTATTTCTTTTAAAGGTAGTGGAAAATATCTTTGAATACTTTTCAGGCAGAGTTAGATTTGTCATAAGCAAAACGGTGAAAGATTATTTCAGGGAAGGTTAGGTGGCAACAAGGAGTAATCAAATCTTCTCAAATGGCAGTGCAGGCTTGGGGCCAAGTGACCCACTTCTCCTAATTTGTACACTCATATCGTATGTGGAATATGTTAGAAAAGCAAATATGAAGAAGTTAACATTATTAATACTATAGTTCATAACTATGTGTGTTGTGCACTCAACTTTACTTTATAATCACCCCCAAAATCACTAATAAGACACATGAATCATTAAAATTCCGTAGAAACCATGCAAAGGTGTGCCACAGTCCTTTGGAGAATCCTCTTCTGCTCCAGTTAATCTCAGAAGGAATACTTTCATTTACCATTCCTTGACTGTGGATACCTGTAGTCAGTCCTTTGTTCTGGTTACTTTTCAATTCTTCCAAACCAATTCAGCTGTTACTTCCTTTTACAATAAGATACAGTGAAGCCAGCTATCTCCAGCTAGCTTCAAACTTAATCCATCTTCCAGGTTCTGTTCCGTCACGAGATTCAAATTTAGCTTAAGCTTTATCCATCTTCCACACTTTAATGATGGAGTGGTGTTTTATTTTGCATACAGTGCAGGTAATGCTAACTGCCATTTCCTTTGGCTGTTGTTCCTTCGTGAGCTGCAAACTACACACACTAATTCCAAACTGCAATTAACTCTCTCAGCAAACATCTAGATAATGCCCCAGAATTCTACCCATCACCACAATGACATAGCCAGCTCTGGTGTGTGCTCATACTAACCTTTAGATTAATTCTCCGTAATTTACAGTTCTTTTTCTGTGATCTGAGGAAATAAATGGGTTTACAATCTTTCAGGGATGCTGAATATTTTCAAAACACAAAACGGAATGTACTGCTCTGCAAGGAAAACAGGCATCATGCTCCCAGGTTTTCTGTTTTAAAAAAAGTCCACCTGCAGCTTTCTGATCTTACCTTTCAAGCTGTTAGCCTCTTAACTCAACATGATCCCAACCTTTTAAGTGTGATAGATTTCAAATTTGTATTAATTACGTTAATCCTATTTTTTACAATCAAGACTTCAATTCCTAAAACCAAAAGCTATTCTTTAAAACACAGTGAACCATGAACTAGAGACGTTCGGCAAACTCTTGAGTCCTAAATATGTGTATAATCTACAGAAATACAGAGGAAGGTATTAACAGAATAAAACCTGCTGGAAGTGTTCGGAATGATCTTTTTGGCCTATTTGTAGTTTATGCCACATTTTATAAGAGAATTGTTATCCCCTCACAACCAGTGGGGGGAAAAAAGAAGACAAGCTATTGAGCTAAGAGTTTTTTTTTTGAGAGAAAACTTCTGTTATGTTTGCAACACCATGCTATTTCTTGCTCTTCTGGAAGGTGCTGTCTCCTCACTTCGAAGTAGTTCTTTAGCTGCTGCTTGACTTTGTGTGTTTAAGCTGCTGTTCCAAATTCACAAGATTTGCCAGCGAGTCTCTACAGGCTATTTGAGGCTGAATTGTTTATTGCAGCTGTGTGTGCCCCTCTTCTTGCCTGAAGTTTGCTTAATTGGTCCTAGTGTTCTTGCTTAATAATTGGGAGAGATCAGGAACTATAGCTAATTTCAGGTGCTTTTTCACTTTTCATAAGCCAGTATGATCAAGTAAATTGCAGTACTACCTCCCAGGCTAAGATCAGCCAGCATAGCACAAGCTGGAAATTTAACTCGGAGCCAAGCCTGATCTTTGTGGATCAGCTCTTCCTTCATTTATCATTGATGGAGTTTGATTTTGACTTTAGAAGTAGTGTCTGATATTAAAAATAGAAAGCAAACTGAAAATTTAAAACTGAAAAGATACAAACTTAGAGTACTTCTAAAAACTCAATTTGGGTGTTCTCAAGATGAAATAGTTGCCAAAGCCAATTCTAATAGATGTATCCAAAGAAGAAGAGCAGAAATACAGATATTTTTTATCATAAGACTAAGCAATATAGATTGGAATTAACATTTTGGTTTCATCAAACATGGGAGAGTTAAAATAGGCATGGAAGTGATGGATAATAGAAAATTGCCTGAGGCAGATCCAGCAAAAACCACTTTTTTGTTAACTTTGATCAATATCACAATTAACAGATCTTCACTTTTTCTTTTCATTAGAATGAGGAATGCTCGGTTCTGAGAAAGCGAAGTTAATTTCATCTTTCGTAATGAGCACAAACATCTATTGGTGTTGACTGTGGGAATTTCATAAGTTCAATATAGATGTTTATCTTACCAAGAAGAATTGGATGTTTTGTTAGTTGGTTTCTTACCAGGGCAAAGTTCAAGTCAAATGCTTTTATTTTTAATGTAATATGTCCCTTGTAATGTATAGGTGAAGAAGCAGTATTATCATTTTAGGCACCTGATACCCACATCTCTAGCTTCAAGGTTTTAGATTTTTGACCCCTTTTAGATGTATCTCAACTTCAACTCGGAATAAAACTCACACAAAAACAGAAATTGCTGGAGAAATTCAGCAAGTCTGGCAGCATCTGTGCAGACAAAACAGAGTCAATGTTTCAAGACTAAGGACCCTTCATCATTGGACTCAAAACGTTAACTCTGTTTTCTTGCCGCAGATGCTGCCAGACTTGCTGGGTTTCTCCAATTTCTGTTTTTATTTGAGTATTATTCTGCAGTTCATTGTTTTATATCAGAATAATACTCACTGTACTAGCGTGATCATTTCCATAGTTCATACACCAGTTATCTTGTACCTCCTTTAAAGAGTTTGCTAACAAGGACAGTTTATTGTTGTGGTCCCACCTAGGAACCTTACAACTGACCTGTGAAGGAATCTTTCACCCTTTTGTTCGAGTGGGGATGTCAACTGAGACCCCAGAGTTGAAAAGCAATATTGTATCCTTCTGTGCAACCCTCCATGCCCCTGCTGTACATGTATGTTGTGATGAAGGTTCTAATACATTATCAAGTTTTGGAACTTGGCGTTCTAACGTGGCGATAAATGGGTGTTTGGTCTTCAGTTCTATGAGGGTGACTTTGTTGGAATTTTTATTTTGCGTTGAGTCAAAACAGCATTTCCGAGAAATGTGACTTAAGCTGAATGACTAAATAAATTAATTGTTGAGATAACTGAAGTGTTTACTAAGTTGAGCTATTATGATCCAGAATAAGGAGCAGGGTCAGTTCTGAAGAAAAGATATATACCAGCAAATGTACTGTTTAATAGCCTCAAATATTTAAACTAACAGGAAAAAGCCCTTAGTTTCTTTCCATGGAATTCAGTGAGAAAAACCAGTGAGCTAGCTTGTGTTGGTGTATTTCAGGGAGCAACAGAGGGACTTTGGATGTGGATGTGCAGAAAATTGTTGAAAGGAAACACTTGCAACCTCATCGTCGGAATAAAATATTAAAATGTGAAGATAGGAGGGGTTGAATGTCTATAAAGGATATTTCTGTGGAAGAGTTGAATCTTTTTGCTGTTCTTCATACTGTATTTCCAAATTGTATGTACCTTTCTTTTTTACTTTTTCATAATAATCTTGTGTTATTTTGTTAAAAGTACATTGGTAGCCTTGTGAGTACGTTTAGTGACTCATCACCAAGGTTAACAAATTGCAAAAAAACTTATGGTCTCTCAAGCCAGGTTTCACTCTGGCATCCGACAACCTGTGTTACTGTCAGCTGGGATCGTAATAATGCAGAGACCAGTGCTTTTATTTTCTGCACTCTTTTTAACATTCTAAGTATTCTTCAGTATTCTTTTTTTGTTTTCATGGAATTCTATTACCAGATTTATTAAACTTAAAAACATAATGCAACATTTTTGTATACTTTAGATCATGTGCTACTGACCTATGTTTCACAAAAAAGAGAATGAACTGGAATTTTCTAAATAATTAATGCCAAGATTACAAGTTCCGTTCAGTAACTAAATGTGTTGCACCCTCGTTTCAGCAGCACATATACTAAACTTAGAACGATATAGAGAGAACAAAAAAAGCATTAGTGGACCAATGTCTCTTATGACTTCCATTCTGTAAAAACAAACATTGTATACTGCTCTTCCAAGAAAAATACTAGCTAGCAATAAAATTAAGCAAGTGGGTTCATACTGTAGAAAAGGTACATGCTGACTATTTTATGATTCTGTTTACAGAGTAATGGTTTCAAAAAGTCCCCAAATGCTTCAGATCACACTGTGCTGAATCATACACTTGCAGAAGTAAAAGCTTTCCTCATTAATGAAGAGAACTTACACCAGTTTGATGACCTCACTAAAGTCAACCCAGTGACAACTGCCACAGGTAACTACTTAATTGGTTAATGGCCTGATATTTGTGGAATAGCTGTTTTTAAAGTACTGGATGTTTGAATATGATTCAAGTGTGATAGTATTTTGTATTTTTGTAATGGTCAAACAAGGCACATGTTGAGGTGAGTGTGACTGTGGTTGATATTAAGGCTACATTTGACTACATATGGTGTCAAGGATTCCTAGCAAAATTAGAGTCAATGGGAAAGTCTCTGAGTGGGGTCAACCTAAATTAAAGGAAAATGGTTAGGTTATTGGAGGTCAGTCATCTTGTCTCCAGGATATTTCAGCAATAGTTCCTCAGAGTATTGTCATATGCCCAACTATCTTCAAGTGCTTCATCAATTAATTTTCCTCAATCATCAGATCAGAAGTGGAGACATGTACTAGTGATTCACAATGTTCAGCACATTTGTGACTCTTCAGATACTGCAGTAGTCCATGCCCAAATGCAGCAAGACCTGTACAATATACAGGTTTGGGCTGAAAAATGCAAATAACATTCATGCCATATAAGTGTCAGGCAATGGCCATATCCAACAAGAAAGAATGTAACCATTGACCCTTGACGTTCAGTTGCATTACCATCACTAAATCTCCCCCTGTCAATGCCCTGGCGATGACCAGAAATTGAACTGGCCCAGCCATATAAATACTGTGTCAACGTGAACAGATCAGAGGCTAGGAATCCTGCAACAAGCAATTCACCTTCAGACTCCCAAAGCCTTCAACCACCTATGAGGCACATATCAAGAGTGTGATGGATTACTCCCCATTGGCCTAGATGAACGCAGCTCCAGCAACATTCAGGAAGCTGAACACCATTAGGGACAAAGTAACTTGTTTGATTGGCATCACATTCACAAATACTCATGCAGTCCACCACCGACACAGTAGCAAACGTGTGCATCGTCTGTAACGTGCATTGAAGAAATTATCAAGGCTGTATAGACACTACCTTTCAAACCCATAACCAATACCATCTAAAAGGACAAGGACACCAGTTTTATTGAAACGTCTCCACCTTCGAGTTCCCTTGGAGTCACGCCATCCTGACTTGGAAATATATCGCAGTTCCATCAGTGTTACTGGCTCAAAATTCTGGAACTCACTTCCTACAACACATTGACTACAGGTTCAGGAAGGCAGCACACCACCACCATCACCTGGACGGCATTTGGGGCTGATTGATAAAATGCTGGCCCAGCCAGTGAAGTCCACTTCCAATGAATGAATAAAAAAAATTGACGTAAAACTGTCAATGTGAAGTAAGGTGTCTCTGGAAGTACTTCACAGCACCCATTATGTTCAGAAAAAGAAGAGTGGTAAACATAAGGGTGCATCTCCAACAGAAGTATATTTACAAGAATGAGCTGATTTGACAGATTTCAAGTGCTACCTCTCTCCATGTTCATTCAAATTCAAGGTTGAGAAATTATTACATAAGTGATCTGATTGTTATTGCTAAAAAAAAAGCCAAAGTACTTTCTGATAGAGATGTTGGGCGAACATGGGGACCATACGTTAAATGTACCTATTCTTTACAGACATTACATTATAATTAAAATAATTTTGATTAACAGATTACTGTACAAAACAAAATGTTTTAAATCTTTCAGCATTTCAATATTTAGAAACCTGCATAAATTCATGTTCTTCTTCTGTCTCCCAGTTTTAAAATGTCTACAAGCAAGATATGTGGCCAGTGTGTTTTATACCAATGCTGGGTGTACGCTGGTGGCTCTTAACCCATTCCAGCCTGTTTCTAATTTGTATTCCCCCGACATTATGAAGGTATACCACTCTGCATCTCGACCACAGGTAACTCCAGTATAGAGTTGTGCTTTAGTGATAAAAATTATTGAAACAAGTAATTAATTTAATGTTATTCTTAATAATTCTGTAACCTGGATAATCAAGATATTAATATTCTATTTGTGCCTAAGGCATTCTGACCGTTTATTAAATGTAACGTACACTATAGGCAGACCACGCATTTACACAGACTGTTTAAATTAGTCCTTAAAGTTAGCCAAATGAGAGAAAATTCCTCTGGTTTCCTAGTTATGTGGTTTGACAATCTCTAGGGAAAAACACCATAATTAATTTATCTAATGGTGATATTGTAGTCAGAAAATTCATTTTGATCTCTACAGAGACACATTTCTTAGCAGCAGCTGCAGGTTTATGTTTGTGCTGGCTTAAATTTTCCAGCTTAACATCATTAATAATTTGATACATTTTCCTGTTTTATTGCCTTAGTGTCTGTTTGGATAGATAAAACATTTGAGAGATTAAGTCTTTCTGTTCTTTAGGAATTGAAACCGCACATCTTCACTGTGGCTGAGGAAACATTCAGGAATGTACAAAGCCATATTGAACCAGTTAACCAGTCACTTATAGTCAGCGGGGAGAGTGGTGCTGGAAAGGTAAGAACTCAGCATGAGAGACATAGGAGGAATAAATAAATTTGCCTTGTGCAGAAGATACCTGGTGTTGTGGTTATGGAAAAACTATGGAAAGTGCCTGATCATTAAAACTGATTAAAATATTAAGATTCCATTTAATTTTCTTTATTGATCTATCTCTCTTTCAGTCATGGTACAGTAGGTTCATAACATTGTATTATATTTTTTCAGTAGTGTTTTGATGGAAAATCTTTGATCACCTTATTAAAACTGGTATTTTAAGAGCTCCAGAATTTGGGGACACACTTTTTCTGTTGAACTTAAAGGCAAGGAAATGACCAGGATACAACCAAGTAAACGTGCTTTCTTGTTACAAATGACGAAGTTCAATATCCAATGTTAAGACTGAACTTTGAACTTTGATATCATACTTATTGATAATATTTCCTTTTTGCAGACCTGGACATCCCGTTGCCTTATGAACTACTTTGCCACAGTTGCTACCTCAAGCACTTCTGTTAATTGCCAGAAAAATGTGGAAAAAATAGAGAAGAGAGTGTTAGATTCCAATCCTGTGATGGAGGCATTTGGTGACAAAGCTTTCTGCTTTCGTATAAATGTTTGAGAATTTAATTAAATATTTATAAACATAAGTATTCACATGATATTGTGCGTATAGCTAACCAGTCCCTTACTAGACATATCAGTTTCTACACGTCAAATTCTTTGTGGCCAATGTTCTGCAAGGTAATTTGAAATCATAAGCATTAGTGCTGCAGTGACATTCACTCACCACTGGCAGTGCAGTCATTGTAAATGGTGTTTGTAGCTCAATATAAAATCATAGAATCCCTAAAGTGCAGAAAGAGGCTATTTGGCCCATAGAATCTATACTGACCCTCATAAGACCATTTCACCCAGACCTACACCCTCACCGTAGCTTCGTAACCCTACATTTACAATGGTTAATCCACCTAGCCTACATATCTCCGGACACTATGGGCCAATTTAGCACATGTTTGGATTGTGGGAAGAAACTGGAGCAACTGGTGGAAATCTACACAGACATGGGGAGAATGTGCAAATTCCAAACACGGTCACCCAAGGCTGGAATCGAACCCAGGTCCCTGGTGCTGGGAAGCAGCAGTGCTAACTGGTGTGCCAGTCTCCAGCAGGAGTCATAACTGCAAATGCATTCCTGGATCCGAGATGTGTCAGGCTCACATGCAACTGTGGGTGATCAAAGAAAACCTATATTTCCCCATTGCTGCTTTCCTCCTCCTCTATAAAACTGAACAGAGAAATATCCATGGCAGTTTCCAAATGCAGAATTTAGTTTGCAACAATTGAAATACAACTTTAAATACTTGCATTCTTAAAATAGCAAAATACTACCTGGCTTTATTGTTAATTTTATATGACGGATTCCCAGTGAAAGATTTGGGAATCCCCATTAGAGTGTTTTGTTACATCTTATTTCTGTGATATTTAACAAATTAATTGGTACAAGTTCATTCTGTGTAAGTATGATTTAAGCTGATCAGAAACCGTAGTCTTAGAAGTTCAAGAACTTCTGTAATGTTACAAAATAATTAGAAGATAGAAGTGTATGATCTGAAGAGATTTCAATAGTTTATCCATCTGAAATCAACACCTTTGGCAGGACTATATGAAAATAGGATTGAGGTAGTGTCTTTTAGATTTACCAATCCACATGCCAAAAGTAATGGAGATCACTAAATTTGTGTCCACAGTTTATAATATGGTACCATCTCAGCAAAACCATTTGAGAAGAACAAAAAGTGCTTCTCCAATAGAATTTGTAATAAAAAATGTTAACAAATCTCAGATTGACAATTCTGCACCACCTAGTGGGCTACTGTAGAACATCACTGGTTTAAGTATTGGAACAGGCTACATACTCTTGTGGTCAAATCAGTAATGAGGTATGTCATGGAAAGAAAGATGAATAGTCGGGGTAGGGGACAAGACAGAAAGAAAATGAAATGGGGGAAAAGAGAAAAAGCAATTTAAAAGGATGCTATTTATAGAACTCAATTAATTTTACATTTTAGGAAAACTGATTTAGCTGTAATATTTTTTGGTAAAGTCTGGATTTATGGTTTAATAAGCAGAAAAAAGGACATGGGAAGAAAGTCAATGAAAGTAATGGCAACATGTTTCTTGGAAGCCATTATGGATAAAAAGCTGCTTATTTGAATATATGTTACTGTGCAGAAATTGTCAGTTAAACAAAACTAGGATCAAAAATAAATACTAGAGATTTGTGGATGTTTTACAAACAATTTTTTGATGGAAATTTGACTTAGATAGAAAGTGCTACATAATGGACTAAGAGCTATAAGGAAGTATTAAGTCATTTTAGTTGGGATAGAAGAACATTTTCCATTGATTAGCTCCAGCCATCTAGGTTTTAACTATGACCAGATTTTGAACAAGGTGCAGGCCGGCCTGAGATCTTCAGTTAATGGTGTGATGTGCTGAACCACATGGCTTTTGAGGCATAGCCTTAGCAATTGAAGGTGTTGAATTTATGTAGACTGGATGTTTGAGGTTCAACTTGCAATCAGTGATTTTTTTGGAGGAAAAAAAAAAGGCCTTGCTCCATTTCTTTCTGTTAAAGTGATCTTGCACGTGAAACTAAAACCTGCTAAAGACAGCATAAATGATGAAGTAATTAATTATTAACAGATTTACTCTTTCATAGGAAATGCTTGTACACTGCGGAATCACAATAGCAGTCGATTTGGAAAGTACATTCAACTGCAGCTAAACAGGTAGTTTTCATAGATCAACTGTGTGTGCATTTATTCAATTTCTTAAATTCTTCAAAATTCTTTTCAAAAAGCTAATACTTTTTGTGGCGTAAGCCAATTCTTTACTGTCTGATGCATGGTTATAATACAAATGTATGGAAAATCTCTTAAACGACAACTTCCCTGATATAGGTTAGAGTTAGATGATGATGGGGACATTGGAACAAGGTTAGGCCATTTTACCCTGTTAAATCTTTCTTCATTCACTGAGATTGTGACTAACTCTGTCTATCTTTCCTTTGCCCCATGTCCCTTAAAATATTTGATTTAAAAAATGTCTTATCACTCCCCACTGTAAATGTAATATCTGGTGTATAATTAAATTGCCATTTGTGGAAGAGAGTTCCAAATCTTTACCTTTTTGTATGTAGAAGCATATCTAATTTCACTCTTGAAAGTTATGGCTTATATCTTTAGCCTAAGCCTGCATATCCTAGAGTCTGAGCCAGTAGAAATTGTTTTTCTCAATATACTCTATCTGTTCTGCTTATTATCCTGGCAACTTTGATCAAATCTCCTCTTACCGTTCTAAATTCCAGGCAATAGTTTGGAATCTCTCCTTGATCTTAACTTGTGAAGTTGAGGTGTGATCTGCTAAATTCATGTTGTGCTCCCTCAAGGGTCATATATATCTTTCCTAAGGTGTGACCCACCTCAATCAAGAAGGTTCACAGTTTGATAATTCTTTGTGCTAAATTAACTGATCTGTTTAGCTGGTTGGAACTTGACTTCTTCTAAAAATGGATCACTCCCATGTTGCAATAGATCTTCATGAAATTATAGTTTGGTAGAAATAACTTGAAGACAGAATTTACTTTGGTCATGATGTCCCTTTGTGAAAATGTATCCTGCTTAACGTTGGTTCTTTTGAAGCTTGTGTGTAAAGAATGATCACTTGGGGACAGTAAGCTTTGGAATTTCTGTACCTAAAACTGCTTATTAACTTGTCCTAGGTAGTGAATATACTGTGGAGTTAGGTAGCTGTGAAGAGAGATTGACGACTTTTCATAAGAGATTTATTTCGGATTTAAACAATCACCAGTAGTATTTTGCTTTTATTCTGGACACTGCTTATTTTAGTCCTTTCTTATGCAACTAGATCTTTTACAATTTTGTCCTCTTTTCTAGACAGTCAGTTCTGACAGTTGCTTTACTTTCCAGATCACAGCAGCTGGAGGGAGCATCTGTGCAGACTTACCTTTTGGAGAAAACACGGGTTGCCTATCAAGCTCCTTTAGAAAGAAATTTTCACATTTTTTATCAGGTGAGGCAGTGATTCTGTATAAAGGTGATTTTCTCATTTAGTGGATATCAATGCAAGTTTGAATTTGTATTGACGAAGTTCGAGGTAGCGGGTTATTGGATCAGGGTTCGTAAACTGATACAAGCATCAATTAAACTTTACTTGATATGTTTTTGACAAAGCCAGTATAGGTTTATGAAAAGCAAATCATACTTAATAAATGTACTGGAGTTTTTTGAGGATGTAACTAGTAAAATAAATAGGGGAGAACCAGTAGATGTGGAGTAGCTGGATTTTCAGGAGGCTTTTAATACAGTCCCTGAAGAGGTTAGTGAGATGTGGGCATCGCTGGCTTGCCAGCATTTATTGCTCATCGCTAGTTGCCCTTGAGAAGGTATGCATAAAGTTTCAGATTTTAAAGGCATCGCAACAGAGGATCAGCTATGATCTTAATGACCGATTAGGATCGAAGGCCCAAATCGCCTACTACTCCTGGTTTCTATGTTTCTATGCCACACTTCACATAGGAGGAGAAAAGGAAAAATGGCAATTTTTGAAGTAGTGATTTTTGACTGGGTAGTGCACACTTTGAGACATATGTTGATGCAGTAACACAATATTTTGAAATCATTGGCAGATATTTTACAGCATCTGTGGAACAAATAGAGAAATTAATGTTTCAGAATATTGATGATGTATTCACATCTAACAGGTTGATTTACCTGTTTGCTTAAAGTATTGGCAAAAATCTGTAGCTCGGGTTGTGGATGAGGTTGTTGACTTGCTTGCTGAGCTGGCTTGTTTTTGTTCAGATGTTTCGTCACCATGCTAGGTGACATCATCAGTTGAGCCTCCGATGAAGCAATGTTATCCTACTTTGCTTGGAATTTATACTGTCCGATCCATTATGGTGAGTATTGTTATTTCTAATTTCGATCTGTATAGGTTTATATATGGGGTCCAATTCTATACAGGCCAGACAGATCAAATCCTCAACTTCCACAGCAACCACCCCAATGTCCACAAACAAAGCTGCATTAGGACACTATTAAAATGGGCCAGGACAGACTGCAACACCCCAGAATTAAGCCGGGAAGAAGACGAACACTTATACAAGATCCTCGCCTTAAATGGATATCCCCGCAACTTCATCCACAGATGTCTACGTAACAGACGACATGAGGGCACAGTACGACCTAACACACTTTTATACACTTCCCTATATCAGGAACATATCAGAACTGACAACAAGACTCCTAAGACCATTAGGAATCATGGTGGCCCACAAGCTCACAGCCACCCTACAACAAACACTTACAAGGATTAAAGACCCCATTCCCACAACATGCAGAACGAACATGGTTTACAAAATACCATGCAATGACTGCCACAAATATTACATCGGACAGACAGGAAGGAAACTAGCCATCAGAATACATGAACATCAGCTAGCAGCAAAACGGCAGATGAACTCTCCTTAATATCTGTACATTCAGACAACGAAGACCATCAGTTTAACTGGGACAATGTAACTGTAGTAGCCCAAGCCAAACCAGACACGCACAGGAATTCCTCGAGGCACGGTTCTCCAACCATACTTCAATCAACAAACATATAGAATTGGACCCCATATATAAACCCATACAGATCCAAACCAGAAATAACAGTACTCACCATAACGGACCAGACAGCATAAATTCAAAGCGGAGTAGAATAACATCACTTCATGGGAGGCTCCACTGATGATGTCACCTAGCACGGTGACAAAATGTCTGAACAAAAACAAGCCAGTTCTGCGAGCAAGTCAACAACTTTACCTGTTTTGCTCCACAAATACTGTCTGGCAATCTGACTGACTGTTTCCAGTATTTTCTATTTTGTTTCAGATTCAATTTCCATTTTAATTTTTTCTTCAAATTGATTAATAATCTGCAACTGGTTTAGTTTAAAACTACTCATTTAGGTTAATTTTGAATGTTTATCCTGGAATCTTGGAAATATACTGGTCTAAATGAGGTTTTGGGTTGCAGTTTCTTTTTATCAAAAAAGAGTTAACTTGTATTTGTCATTTATTATGCCTGACAAAGCTCACTTACAGATGGAAATATACTATTATTTGTAAAGATTCCAAGATTGACACCATTTAGTATGTTTAAAATCAAACTCACAAGTTCAAATACCTGCATTTCATTATGTGTAAAATGAAATGGAAAAATTGACCTTTATTTTGGAATCCATGCTTTTAGTTTAATAACCCACAGTGCTGTTCTAATCCAGAAAAGCTGGCCACGGCTGGAAATGATGGCCAAGTTTCTTTTACGAACATTGCAGACATTCAAAGCTCTTTTCACATCAGTTTCTGCATGTTTACCACAGACCTGTTTAAAAACTGATGAGACAGTCCCCTTTCAAGATTGTATTTGGGCATTTGATAGAGCTTTTTTAATACTGGCAAACCAAAAGTTTATTCCCAACGTACTTAGAAGTTTGTAATCAATGCTGTTTCTAACTGCACAAGTAGACAGTCATGCAGAAATTGGGAATGTGCCATGCAGGAAACAAACAGGTTTCACACAATCTGTGGTTTCTTTAAGATGCACCTGTACACAGCCATGCAGCAATCCTAGAGGCGCTGCACAGTACACCAAGCTAGCCATACTCAACAGACAGAAGTTAGAGGAAACATTGGTTGTGGTGGGGGATATTCAAAAGTGAAACTAGTAGGGATATTGAAACACTTTGCTGTTTTCTTGGATATTTTGTTTGTACTATGTTGAAACCATTAATTTAGCAAAAGTTTGAATGTTGTAACTTAGTACAGTAATTTTTCTTCAGGTAATGAAAGGAGCCACTGAGGAGCAGAGGCTGGAATGGGGTCTTTCTGAAGAGGAAGAATTCTTCTGGTTGCCAAATGCTGACAAAGTATTAGAAGGTCAGCAAATTTATTGAACTCTATTCTGTATTGTATTTGCAAGTAGGTAATCCATGCATGCACTCATTATTTTAATACAATACACTTAACTCATAGGTAGAAGATCTTCTGACACACTGTTCACATCATATTGGAAGATGCCCTGCTTTATTATTGTACAGCTATGTGATATATGATGTGATATGTATAATATGATGTAATATATGATTGATGCTGATGAGGTGGAGGTGTGTTTAAGCTATCCTGCTCATTTTTACATCAGAGCTCAAATCCTTTGCATATTCCTGGCCTGAGATCATTCATTAAATCTTTCGCTCAGAAAGTCAGACGTTAGAGGAAAAAAAAAATATTTATCAGGCCCATCTCATATCTGTGACTCTAGGGAATTTTGAATAAATTTTTTCTTATTTTCTACACCAGTTATATTTTTTTCTCATTTGCTTGAGTTGTTGACTCCTTTTTTGAATACAGATGCCCTTTGGGAGAACCCAGACCTTGAGTTTCAGCAGAATACCCATCTAAGAAGACATTGTTGTTACTAGTGTGGATTTTCAACTGGGGTTTCTTGAGAACAATTGAGTGTGAATCCTTGAATTTTCATTCCTCCTTAATTCAGTCTTTGATGTTGAAGCCAGTTTTTGCTGGATTGCTGGCATTGCTCAGTGAAGCTAACTCACCACAGATTCAGAAGTGAACATGGAAGTTTCCTGTTCCTTTTGGCCTTCAGTTTCTATTTTAATAAAGTATGTGAAATTGGTTGCTGGTCTTGTTTTTAGGTACTATGCAATAAGTTACAGAATCCTTTCACATTTGCCTCTGAAACTGATCTGTCATTTGAAAAGTGTTATTTTATGCCTAATGCGGCACTTGAGTTTTATTTGAAAGTTAGCTTCTACCTTGTTTGTCTGTCTTATTATGCAGTGATTCTGTCAGTTAATTCATGGGACAAATTTCTAAGTTACACTTTTTGGAACGGTTTAGTGTCTAAATGACTGAGCAAGATGGGGAATAGACCATTGAAGAGTGAAAGAAATTGAAGACAATATGAATGTTTTATAGTTCATCTGGAGAGCTTGGCTAGCTACTGAAATGACAGTCAAATTGTTTTAATATTTTTTATCTGTGTAGAGGACCAATTTGAAGAAACCAAAGATGCAATGTTACACCTGGGTATTGATAGTTGCATACAAAACCAGGTATTCAGGGTAAGTGAACCAGTAGTTTCTACCTTTCTCAGCTAAGCAGTGACACGTTAATCACTGCATTATTTGTATGTATTGTAATTTTTTTGGACTGTTTTAAAAAATATTTATTATGAAATTATAGATGGATGCTGCCCCTTCTCCAAGACTAGTTTAATTGTTTTCTCTTATTAACAACTATTCAAGTCTGTACACTGAAGGCAAATGCGAGATATTTATTTAAAATATTCATTGGAGTCTTGAGTCATAGAGTCATACAACACAGAAACAGACCCTTTGGTCCAACCAGTCCATGCTGAACATAATCCCAAACTAGAGACAACACAATGTGGAGCTGGAGGAATACAGCTGGTCAGGTAGCATTAGTTGTGGAGCTGGAGGAATACAGCTGGTCAGGTAGCATTAGTTGTGGAGCTGGAGGAATACAGCTGGTCAGGTCGCATTAGAGGAGTAGGAAAGTGTTCCTCCAGCTCCACACTGTGTTGTCTCTGACTCCAGCATTTGCAGTTCTTGCTATCTCCGAGTGACTTATAACCCCACTGTGAAGCCTATTCCAAGGATGCCCACCTTGAAGAAATTGTCTTCCACCCTCCAAAAAAGGGCTTTCCTACTCCTCTGATGCTGCCTGACCTGCTGTATTCCTCCAGTTCCACACTGTATTGTCTCTAACTCCAGCATCTGCAGTTATTCCTATCTCCGATAATCCCAAACTAAACTAGTCCCAACTGCTTGCTCCTGGCCTATATCTCTCTAAACCTTTCCTATTCATGTACCTATCCAAATGTCTTTTAACCATTGTAATTGTACCCATATCCACCACTTTGTCAGGAAGTTCATTTCACCTCTGTGTAAAAAAGATTGCCCCTCTCTCGTCTTACCCTAAAAATATGCCCCCTAGTCTTGAAATCTCCCATCCTAGGGAAAAGACAACAACCATTAACTCTATTTATACCTGTCATTATTTTATAAACTTCTATCAGGTCGTCTCTCAATGTCCTACTGGTTAAGTTTATGTATAATAGTTTAATAAAATGTAGTATCAGGTTGATTTGTAAAGTGAGAAGCTATGTTCCAACATCAGAAAGTAGACAGGCAACTTTTTCACAAAGATGGTGGCGCATGTATGGAATAAGCTGCCAGAGGAAGGGGTAGAGGCAAGTATAATTAGAACATTTAAAAGACATTTGGACAGTTACATGGGTAGGAAAGGTTTGGAGGGATACGGGCCAAATGCAAGAAAAGGGGACTACTTCAGTTTAAGGAGCCTGGTCAGCACGGACGAGTTGGGCCGAAGAGCCTGTTCCATGCCCTATGACTCTGTGTATCATGCAGGGGACGATTGCATCAGATTAAGGAATTTGGAAATTGGGCAGAATAAATAATGGATTAAAAAGGAGAAAAGAGAAAAAGAATACTAGAATTTGAGGACAGTTTTCAGTTCAGAATATTAAAAAATGGGTAATATTGCCCTGTAGATTTTTTTTTCCCCTGTTCACAGAATGAAAAGGAATCCGAATCAGGAGATGCAGATGAGGAAAATGGGTCAGGAGAACTGGGAATTTAGTGATGGAGTTGCAGAATTGTGTTTTGAGTGGAAGTGGGAGGCATGTTAAGTTCTGAGGAAGAAGCCTTTGAAGGGTCTCAAAAACAAAAAAAAGGTGAATTAAAGCCTCACCAATGAATAGGAGTGCATGTAAAAATCTACAAGTACTGAAATATATAGAAGTGATTTTTAAATTAATTGGATTGTATATTTCTTGTGATTCATTCTGTCAAATATTTTAAATGTATTTAGCATAAACATGGAAAATGTGCTTGAAAGCACAATTCTTGCTGTTCTTCCGCTTGTTTTGTACTTTTCCAATAGATTCTAGCTGGTCTTCTACATCTTGGAAATGTGCGATTTAGCTCTCCTACAGATGAGTCTCACCCTTGTGATCTGAAAGAAAAGGCGAAATGTAAGAAATATCAAGTGGATTATTATTTTTAAAAATGCTTCTTTAAACTCTGAAGAGGTTGTACTTTGAGAAATTTCCTGGAGTGTTGAGGCCAGTATCTTGCCTCTTTTTTTCTTTCTAATTTCGTTAGTAAATGACAGAAAAATTCAAAATGGTGTGCTTTCTATTGGCATTAGTTTTTCTTTCAGTACTACAAATAGTCAGTATGTGTTTTTCTGACTTGAGCTTAGTTTTGCACCACTGCATTAATCAGAATCTGTTTTCTTTAGACTTTCTTAAAAGAACTGCAAATCTACTTAAAGTTTCTGAGGACAGTCTTCTGGAAGAGCTTAGAGTCCGGACTATTACAGCAGGCAGGCAGCAACAAGTGTTTAAAAAGCCGTGCTCCAAAATAGAGTGCGGCATGAGAAGGGACTGTGTGGCTAAAGTAATTTATGCGAAGTAGGTATTATTTAAACTGAAAATTTAAAGTCATGCTGTTTTGTAATTCAATTGGACAAGTATTTTTCCTCTGTGAAAAATGGAGCATTGGTAAAATGAAAATGTTGATGTTCTTCTGCAATTGTCTGTGATTCCACGATAGTTTTCCGTTGACTTTGTAAGTAAATGTACTCATAATATGCTATCAAAACTAGATGGACCTTAGGCATACAACAGGTATCAATTAAATTATAATATTGCAAAGTGAAACATTAGGTGTACCTTATTGTCAGAGGTGTCATCTTTTAAATGCAATGTTAAAACCATCTTTTTTAATGGCAATATTTGAAGAAAAACATAGAACTCCTCAATGTCTTGGTCATTATTCTGTCTCATTTAACCTGAGTAATAATGGATTCATCAGTCATTTATTTCGTTTTCTATTTGAGAGATCTTGCAGTTGACAAATAGGCTATGGCAAATGTAATTAATTAGATGTATAGTACTTTGGAATATTCTGAGTATGTGATAATGCATATTTTCACTTTGCAAAGAGGAGTATTGAGAAAGCACTTGTATTTAAATAGCACTCCATTACATTCTTAATATCATTAGAACCCCGACAGTGTAGAAACAGGCCACCCAGTAAGTCCACACTGACCCTCAGAAGAGCATCCCACCCAGACCCATCCCCCTACCCTTTCCCTGTATCCCCACATTTCCCAAGGCTAACGCACCTAACCTACACATCCCTGAACACTATGGCCAATTTGCGTAGCCAACCCACCTAACTTGCACATCTTTGGACTGTGGGAGGAAACCAGAGCACCCAGTGGAAACCCACGCAGGCACGGGGAGAATGTGCAAACTCCACACGGACAGTCGCCCAAGGGTGGAATTGAATCTGGGTCCCTGCTGCTGTGAGGCATCAGTGCTAATCACTGTGCCACTGTGTTGCAACAAAGCGTTTTACAGCTGATGGATGACACTTGGACTGTCATCACTTTTGGCAACTTTGGTCTCCAACTTTTAATGATAATCAAGTTAACAGGCAAAACACTGGTACAACTCTTCACGCCTTTCAATAATGCCAAGAGATTCTTTGCATCACCTGAGTTGGAGGACGGGTTGATAATGCTTCACTACAGCACTGAACATCTACTAACTGAGATGAACTTACATGTGTAAATCTGTCACAGTAGGTTTATTTTTGTTTCCTTGATATTGTACATTTAATATTTTTGTTTTGGTATTTTTCAGATTGTTTGACTGGCTGGTAAAAATTATAAATGGCTCCATATGCTCAGATTCTTTCAGGTGGACAAGTTTTATAGGTAATTATGATGGTTGTATAATATTCAAAGCTTGGAATTGTCACTTACCTGGTCCTTTACATGGCTGTGTTAAGAGAGTAGAACAAGGTGATATTCTAGACAAATTTCCAATCAGAAAGTGATCTGGCAGGAGAATAGAAGGGGAAGACTACTTTGTGGAGGTACACCCATTTAACAGAGAGCAATATGTCACAAATTTTCTTAATTTTAAAAGCACATCATTTATGTCTAATCTAATTTATGGAGAATTAATTTTATGATTTTTTTTCCTTGATTCTAAGCACTGGGTTGAGGCTGGGACAAGTGTCCACTCCTTTTAGTTAGGGCATTTTTTTTCAAGGATTTTGTTATCATCTGATCAATCAAATTGCCTTAAGTTGCCTCCTGATTGTTTTAAAGAAAATTTGCAATGCTTTGTGAGTAAGTTAAGTTACAAGAATTTTGTGTAGAGAATGGTGATCAGTCATAGGCTGTAGTGTTTTGACAGCATGGCATCCCATGCCTTGCATCTTATTTATAAATTAAGCGTTAATTCAACAAATCTGATCGATTGCACAAGAACAGAAAGAAGCATCTCTCAAGAGACAAGTGGTTATAGAGATTGAAGTAAAAAGAACAAGTTGAATGCTTATCTTAGAATGTTTATAGGGCCACTTTTAATTTTTAAAATGATTTGTTATAAATTGAGCAAAACAAAATGATGCTAAATATTTTCTTGTTTGTGCAGGTCTGTTGGATGTATATGGATTTGAATCATTTCCACAAAATAACCTGGAACAGCTTTGTATTAACTATGCAAACGAAAAGCTCCAGCAGCATTTTGTGGCACATTATCTCAAAGCGCAGCAGGTATGCAAGCTTGGTGATCCAGTATACTGTTAATATTATGCAACACAGATGCTTCATATGGAATTCTTTGTATTACTTTGTAGGTGGAAATAATAAACTTGTAATTAATCACTGTGAATGAGCAAAGTTTGTTAGAATTTAATATGAAGCTTGAAACTTATGATGTGTTAAAATAGGATGCGGGAATTCCAGTTATTATTCCATATGCAGAAAAATCTGTTTAAAGCTCAGTAATAAACTGTTGTAAGATTCAGTCTTTATTTGTGTAGACATTTGTTTTTTATTCCCAGTCCCTCTTTTAGGTTCAAATGTTTCTCAAAAGCAGTACAGAAACCTGTAGAAACAAAGTGTTTAATTGTTTATTAGAAATGTGAGATTGTTATTACTAAACTCAGTAACATTTAACTGAATCTATTCAGTTAAGTTTTGTACAATGAAATCTATTACAAGTAGCTGTAATTCTGTTAATTTTACACGTGAAGAGAACAGGGAAGTAACAAGAGACTGGCAATAACATGCAAACAACAGTTATTGCAAATGAGATTTGGCTCATTTTCTAAAAAACTTGCCATAGTTTTGCACTTGATGTTTTCATCCTCTGTTGTTCTATTCTTTAGGAGGAATACACTGCAGAGGATCTGGAGTGGTCTTTTGTTAGTTACCAAGATAACCAGAGCTGTTTAGATCTGATTGAAGGAAATCCCACCGGCATCTTTTCCCTTTTAAATGAGGTTGGTTGTTTCTCAAACTTGTCCTTTGTAAGCATAAACTAAATAGAAAGCACAGACTGAAAGGTCATAATAGTTTGGATCTCTGTTAGTTGATTTGCATTTCTTGCCTTTGATGAAGATAGAAAGTGGAAATCTTTTGAGAATTTTCAGTGAACTAATTGCCTACCATTGTATAGGACATCTCCTAAGAGCAGTAGACAGTGCCAGCTGAAATAAAATCTCAAGAGTTTTCTAATCTTTCTTTCCCATTACCTCAAAAGTTTGGAATTTCTTACTTCCTTAAATCTCTAATTTTGCCAAAAGTCTTCATACATTCAAAATACACAGTTGATGTAACCTAATAGTTAACTTGTAATTTGTCTCCTTTTGCATTCCAATTTTGGCACTGCGTAGGGGTTGTTTAGTTCAGTGATAGCTCTTTCACCCAAGTTAGAAGGTCGATGTTCAAATCCTTTGGGATTTGAGTGCATAGTGTGGGTTGAAAGTTAAATACAGTGCTGAATTGTCAGTGATGCAGCTGTACAATGGAATGTTAAGTGGAGATCATATATGCTTATTCAGATGTATTCGATGGCATTATTTGAGAAGCAACATCTCAACTGATATTTTTATGTAAAATTTATTTCAAGGAAACTGCTCAACTAGTTGATTCTAATGTTCATTATCTACATGGCCTCAACGTTGCCTCTCATTTTCCCATATAGGACCTTTCCTTGCCCTACTTCATCTAACCATTTCTATGTAAACTTTTATTCCTTTCACCCCTTCTGGTATACTCAATCAGCATCCTTGTAAAGGCATCTATACTGTTTGCCTGAAGAGCCCCATATGGTAGGAAACTCTGCGTTCCACATTTATCCACCAAACAACAACACTTAAAAAAAAATATTGTTTATTGGTTTGTAAGATCTTGCTATGTGCAAACTGGCTGGCCTGCATACCTAGCAACAGTGACTGCACTTCAAAGAGTAATTGGGTGACTGCCTAATTTTCTGAGTCTCCTGAGTCTTCTGAGGAGGTGAAAGGGATTTTATAAATGGAAAGAAAAAGTTCTAAGGAAGGGTCACTAGACCCGAAACATTAAATCTTATTTCTCTCCACAGATGCTGAGTTTCTCCAGCAATCTCTGTTCTTGTTTTAGAAATGGAAGCTTGATTTTTTTTTTTGTTTCTCTTTATTATTCCATTTCATTCATTTTCTTTGCATTCACTTTCTGGTTTCTCAAAAGTTGTACAAGCTTATGTTGTATATTCTGTTTGAAATTGGGAATGAAATGCTTATACCTGCATAAGGTGTCAATGCACAGATGTTGGATTAATAAAATAATCTGAGGTACTGAGTTACTAGTTTACTTTTTTATTAGCATTCCAGGGAAGTATTTACACTAACAATCTAACTCTGGTAGATATGAGCAAGCATAGACTCCAGTTATCTTCATCAATTATTGTCAGGTGAAGTTTCTTTCTTGAACTGAAAAGGTTTCCTTCAAAATTTAGTTTCACCAATTTCACTAACGTTACCCATTCCAAGATCAGTGCTATATTTATTGAACATGATATATAAGTATCTTTTTCCCCAACTGGCCCCTGGTGGTATTCACGTTCCCAATAGTCTTTTCCCATCCTCCAATCGTCTAACTCTCCTGATATAACCTCTATTTCTTTCTTCCTCAAGTGCTTATCTGACTTGCTCTTAAATGCAACAGTGCTTTTTACCTCAACTCCTTTTCTGGTAATGAGTTCCACATCCTAGCTGCTGTGTCTTTTTTTTGGAAAGTTACTCCAGTTTCCCTCTTGAATTTGTTAGTGCCAATCTTTTAACATTAAGTTTTGGTAATTTCACTTTCTTTGCATTTACTATTTCAAACTCCTTCATTATCTATTGTGATGACACAATGACAGACAGCCAAACCAAATCAACCTTTCCACCTCTGCATTTGCAACACGATAAAATTAAAACCTTCAATTATCCTCAAAATTGACCCCAATGGTTCCTAACCAGACTTTTGAATAACAATCCCAGACAAAGTGGTTTCATGGTCTATGGATCTTTAAGGATCTTTGCTTTCAGCCCCATTCACATAAAAGACGGATGGACAGATAAACAAGCACAGTTAAGGGATAAATAAAACAAAATAACAAAACTGGCCAGATTAGTTAAGTGTTTTCACAATGCATTGTTTCACCCGCATAGATGATGGTTTCTTGGCTGATTTTCTAAAAATGTCGATAAGTGTCGTCTTTACAGTTCACTCAGAAAAAGGCAGTAATACTTATAACTTGGTTCTCTAATCTCTGAGCTTCCAAGAACTGATAAGGGAGTAGCTTTCAAATCTTCAGGCTGTAGCATCAACAGCCAGATTCCTTTTTCACAGAAAACACAGTCCAACACTGAGTTCAAACTCTGACTAATCGCTGACACACAGACTGGTAAGTAGGACATTGTGGAAGAAACATTCAATATCTGCCAATCTGCTTGAGCATAAGGTCTTTTCCAGACTTGCTGGAACCAGTTCCCAGGTAGAGATCTCATTAATAGGCAATTTCTGCTATCTGTTTAAACATAATTCTCTTCCCTGGTGTCGAAGCATCTGCAGAACGTTTTGGTCTAATACTAAACTTAGTGTTGGAAATAGGTAGTCTTTGTGACAGCACAAATATGTGGTCAGAAGCTCAACTCCGATTTGATACCATGATTGCAACAGACTGGTTTGGTCAGTTTATCAGGCCAAATATTGGGAACGCCAAAGGCATTGTTTTTAGTCCTTGCTTCATTTCCAAGTTACCTACTATATCCTTCTCCCTGGTAACAGGGAGACTAAACCAAACTTTGGCCCTGCTGCATTCCTCATTTTTACCTTTATTACCCACTCGTAAAGTCAAACAAACGGCTAACTGTTTTCTCACACTCTACCCTCCATAAACTCGAAATCGTCTAAAACTCTGTGGCCCTAATCTTAACTTGCACCAAGTCCCATTACCTTCCATTCTTGTACTTCTTGACTTACTTTGGCTTCCAGTCAAGCTAAATCCTGATTTTTAAATGAATATCCTTAGTTTAGTATCTTTCATGACCTTCTATCTCCTTTAGCGTCACAGCCCTGTCCGATATTTCCACTCACCTAATCCTCGCCTCTTGAACATTTCTAATTTTAATCATGCCACCGTTAGTGGCAATGTATTTGGTTCCTTATGCTCTTGAATTCCCTCCCAATGGCTCTCTGCCTCTCTACCTTGCTTGTCTCAGTTAAGACACTGTGATATCTACCTCTTTGGCCAAACTTCAATTAATATTTCTTTATGTAACTTAATATTTTGCTTTTTTTCATGCTCCTGTGAAGTGGCTTGGCACCTTTTGTTATATTGAAGATACTTAAATTCTCCTTGTTGTCACTCAGCCTTCTCTTTTTCCAGGAAAAAAAGGCTTCAGCCTTTTCTGATCTCTGTATCCTCTCAGATCTGGCATCATCCTTGCAATTTTTTCATCTTTTCTGATTCTGTATCCTTTTTTATAACATAGAGACCAGATCTACTAAGCACGTCTCTTAAATTCCTTTTCTCTTGACTGGCTGGCTACACAAAGTGTGAGATGGCTGCTGCATGAAGGGACTCGACATTGATCATAGAATTTGAATTAAGCATCAGATCTCACCCAAAGTGCTTAACAGCCAGTTAATATTTCTGAGTGTGGTGTCTGCTGTGGTGTAGGAAGGATGCTATGTTTAGCACAATACATTTGAACACAATTTTGTACAATGCGCAGAATTCCTAATATATCAAAATTGACTCACATTGTGCGAAATAAAATTCGTCTTCATACTTTCAAAACTGACTTGAATTTTTACCTGATTTCTGCAGTTTTGTTAATCTGGCTCCTATAAACAGAGATGTGTTGAGAATTTATTTACCCAACAAATTGTAGTGATGGATTGTATTAATGATAAGTAAATGCTCAATAATTCTTCATTTAAATTTATTCAGAATCTGTCTTCCTCTAGGAAAGCCGCCTTAACCGACTTTCTGATGCAAACCAATTTAAAACTCGCCTTCAGGCAGCTTTGGCGAGTAACCGTTGTCTGAGCTGGAATGTGTTTAGCAAGGTTCCCAATTTTGTAGTGGCTCATTACGCAGGCAAGGTTAATTACCAGATTGAGGGAATGATGGAAAAGAACAAGGTAAGGAAAATTGAGCACTTCTGACGTATTCACTGAAGACTAGATTAATCAGGTTTCATTTTGACATGCCATTATTATTGCATTAAAATGTCAGTCTGCATTATAGGAACGAAACCCCTGCTTGGGCCTTGAACTCCACAGCCTTTTCATTTAAAATAGTGTCTGATGAAAGTAATATTTGTCTTGGCTATTTTCTTTAGTAGTTCACCTAAAACATATTTACACTGAGCTTTAAAACAAATGTGTACATACATATTGTGTGACAGGAGTCAGATATGATTTCTCTGGTACACTATTCTCTTTATAGAGGTCACTATAGGGAAGTGCTGAGCAAAGGTGAGGGATTTATCCATTTTGAGGAGAAAATAGAATAGTATCTGTTAATATTATTCAATCTGTATAAAGTAATTGTGTGGTTTGAAGGGACCGAGAAAGATTCCATTTTACTTTTATTCAGCAAATTAATGGAGTTGTTGTATTCAGTAGATGATATGATAACTTGCCTTTGATAGCTGAGGCAGAGAATACAAGAGCAAAGTGGTTATGTTGGAACTGTGTAAAATGCTAATTAGGGCACAACTGGTATATTGCTTGCAGTTCTGGTCACCACATTATAGAAAATACATGACTGTACTAGAGAGCGCGCAGAGGAGATTTATCAGAATGCAGCTTGGGCTGAAGGGCCAGAGCTATGATGCAAGTTTGGATATGTTGCAGTTGTTATGAGGGACATAGATCGGGTGGATAGAAGGCCCTTTTTGAAAGGTGGAGAGGTCAATAAACAGGGGTGTGGATTTTAGGTAAGAGAACAGTTGAGAATGTATTTCATTCAGAGAATGGTAGAAGTCTAGAACTCACTGACTGAAAAACTGGTTGAATCTGGTAACATTTAAGATCATGGGTTGTAGGAGCAGAAGTACGCCATTCAGCCCATCAAGTCTGCTCTGCCATTCAATGGGATCGTGGCTGATCTGTTGATTGTCAATCCCACATTCCTGCCTTTTCCCCATAACTCTTGATTCCATTAATGATTAAAAATCTGTCTATTTCAGCCCTGAATATACTTAACAACATAGCTTCTACAGTGCTCTGCTGTAAAGAATCCACAGATTCACAACTGTCAGAGAAAAAATTCCTCCCTATCTCTGCTATTAAATGGTCCATATTTAGACATTTAATTGCTCTAGTAGCCTCCAGTTAAAAGCTAGAAAAGAGGCCGAGTGTTGTCAGATCTTCATTGGTGGGTGCAGACATGATAGGCTGAATTGGTGCTGGAAATGTCTGAGTCAGTGATGGCACTATACAATATTATTTCTAAAAGATAAACAATTCAAAAACTTAATAAATTGTAGCGTTTTAATTTGTACAATGGTGCCAGTAACTTACACACAAGTACTTTTATTAGTTATTTTAAAACAATGTAATATGGATGGTTGAATTAAAAAAAGTCAGTAAAAATATTTATGAAGTGTCTTTTTAATGTAACTCAAAAAATTGTGCATTAATGGCATAATTCTATGGAAAAAGTAAACACAGCAGAGCACCACAACTAACAATTTAAATATTGGAATGTTGTACTAAATTCCATTTTAATAGAACTATAGTTTATTAAAGAGCTTTGCTGTTTCCCTTGCTATGGCACCATGCTGCAGATGGACCATTATATATTTTGTTAATCATTATGTTCATGCATTAGGATCCTGTTCCACCAGAGCTGATGCAGTTATTGGAGAAATCTCAGGATACCTTATTGAAGGAGCTATTTCCTGTTGGAGAGAAAGAACACAATGATAGTAAAGCTCAAAACAAAGCAGTTACTGTGGTCTCCAAATTTAAGGTCTGTTTGTATTAACACTGCATTGATGTACCTGCCAAATACAAGATGAGTCTCTTCTATTACTATTGTCCAATGTTTCGCCATCCCTCTCTTTTCCTGCAGAGTTCATTGGAAAACCTGATGTCTATATTAAACAGCACCACACCTCATTACATCAGATGCATCAAGCCTAATATGGACTGCAAACCTCTCCTTTTCAAATCAGAGGAGGTACTGTCATAAAACAAGAAGAAAATGTATATGTTGGTGAAGATACAAGCAATAAATTAGTTTTGCTTATTCACATTAGAATTTGGCTTAGTTTGACTTAGGATTGATTATCTCTATGTTGGCATATCTGCTTTCAGAAGATATAAAAGAGTTTTGGTTTAATAAAAAGTTTTTAATCTTACCTTGATGCATACTTTTAGTTAGTGTTGGCAGTTTAATAAATGATTTTTGTCTCTAGTTTTAAATTACTAACAATTTTAAATGGAGATGCTAGCTTTATTTAGGATATGCACAAGATTTAGATGTTATGTAATGTTTAATAAAGTAGTATTTCTGAGTTTAATATTTTTGTAAAACTATTGTTTTGCAACATTTAAAATCAATATATTATCTTTGTGTACAATTTTACTATAGGTGCACCATGCTTTTGGAATTTGTCCATGGTGTAGCAAGAAGGAAATTTACATCAAATGTTTGAGAGTACTTAAGCTTATTTTCATGAGTGACCTGTTTGCTTTAGATTCTCAGCCAGCTAGAAGCTTGCGGTATTGTTGAAACAATCAACCTCAGTGCAGCTGGATTCCCTATTAGGTATGTTAGTCTATTGAAAGTTATGCTGTTCAAATGAAAAGAACTCATGGGCTCATTATGTACCACATATTAATAGCTTGAGTAAGTGGAATAATAGATCTTCAATGAATTCTAGTTCTTGATGTATACCTAAACATGATGGAATGCATAATAATGTAATTATGGTTTATTTCTTCCTGATGGTTACAAATAACTAATTGTGGAAATCATATGCTCAAGAAGCTATAAACTGGGCCAGTTAAACACAAAATACTGATTGATTAGACAGGTGATTCCATTGGAAAAGACATGATGTAACATTTGCATTTTAATTGGTATGGATTCAAAATTTTTTTTATGAGGTATGTTTTGTAAACTGTGTTATTGTCCTCACATGGGTATTTTGCAATTTAGGGTCCCATTCCAGCATTTTGTGGAGCGCTATGGACTTCTGAAAACAGATTGGAAACTTAATTTGAAAACTACAGCTAGCTTTAATGGATGCTCTCCTGCAAAAAAGAGGAAAGGTTTGTTATAAAATTTTTATTGATAACCTTAGGAGTATAATTTACAATGTAAACACTAATTGAGCTGGTTTAAACTGTATTGATAATGTTGCTTTATTTAAAGCTTGTTTATTTTTGTACTGTAGTTATGTTTAATGTTTATACTGTGTTTACACTTAGTACTGTATTAGATGTGTAATCTTAATTTTTCTCTCCTGTTTCCTTTGTTTATTCCTTCTCTCTTCTTCCAGTATTTCTCCATTTGAGTTCACCAATTCCTACACTTTCTGTTTGCTGCCTTCAGTTTGCTAACTGACTCGACTTGGCTGCAGTATCTCTGATGCTTTCTGACATCTGCCTGTAATGAAGGTGCTCTTGCCATGGAAATGGATATCGTTTGCCTTTGCAGGTTCTTCTTCAGATGGCAGCACTGAAGCTTTGAACTTCATTGTACAAGACATTCTCACTAATGTATTAACTGGCCAAAGTATCACCTCATCCTTTAAGCCAACTGAGAACAGATCACGTAGCTCATTAGTACATTGTGGCAAAACAAAAGTGTTCATGACTCACAGTATGGTAAGTTGCCTAAATTATTTTGAAAAAAAAAATCTGATTAGAATTTTGATTTTTAATTTTTGTTAAAGCTATATAAGAACAGAAGGAGACTATTCACTTCTTCAAGCCTGTCAGCCATTCAAATCATGCAGAACAGCCATGATCTCAAACTTCATTTCCTTGTCCTGGCTTCATATTGCTTAACACCTTTGGCTAGTGCAAAATATTCAATTCTATTCGATTCTATTGATCTTAGATTTGAAATTACTAATTGAGCTTTTTTATTGCTTTTTTTGGGAGTATTCATCACTTGCGCTGTCTCTGTAACCTATCAATTTCTTTCAAAATCCAAACCTATTCAATTAAATCATCTCCTCTTAGCCTTCTAACTTCCAGAAGACCTCAAATCTAACTTGTGTAATCTGTCCTCAAAACCTCACCTCAGATCCCTTGTACAGCATAACAGCGGATGGGAAGAAAATAAAATGGTAGATGGGAGAGCTGCTCTAGGTTTTGAGGTTTCTTCAGCGCTCAGCTGGATCTACTCACTTCCTTAGGGCAGTAATTGCTGTTTTTTTACAAGTCTTGCATAGTTTTCGGAACTTTTAAAATAAAAAATAAAAACAAAGAAACTTTATAAGAAAGGAGGAGAGGAAGTTTTGGGACAGTGACCACGTGGCAGGGTTGAAGACTGAAGAATTGCATAAGGCTCGGAGATTGGCTTTTTATGATCTGGATGTGTTGGTGCTGAAGGTCAGAAGTTACCTCATCACCTGATGAAGGTGCAGTGCTTTGAAAGCTTGAGATTTCAAATAAACCTGTTGGGCTATAATCTGGTGTCGTGTGACTTCTGGCTTTTTATAAAGCAGCTAAGTATAGTTTCACAGTTGTCAGACTGAGAAATTGCACAAGGGCTTTGGATATTGGATTTTGCTGAAATAACAAACAAGCAGTGCAGTTTCATAGCTGACCTGATAGGTCTAATATCCAGCTTCAGTGCAGCTGCAGAGGTATCAGTGATTTAGAGGAAAAAAAATTGATGTCTGAAGCTACCAGAGAAGAGGACAACCTTTGGTTTTTGAGCCTGATCAGCTAAATGTTTGATTTTTAAGACTTAGAACTTCTAAATCTTTATTTTAGTTATACAAAAAAACATTATGGGTAAGGTGAGAACATTTTTTTCTTATGTTTATACTGTGATCTGTCTTTTGTTTGAGTTTTATTATTAAGGATTTCTATTAAGTTATCCCAGAGCAGTGTTTTTGAGCAGTAAGACTGTGCTAATGCTGTGTTTCTGAGCAAAATATGTTCTGTTTGTTTTTAGGTAATTTCTGGGTCTGTAGATTGTTAAAGGGGCAGAAATGGGTTTTAGTAGAGCGATGAGCTCTTCCTGTCAGATGTGGGAGATCAGGAAGAATTTGAATATTTCAGGAGACTGTCTGCAGGAAGTGTGGTGGCGAATGCTATCAGACTGCATGGATAGGTTGGAGTGGTAGTTAGAGAAGTTTACGAGAGCAAAGGGGTGTGATGAATGGCAGCTTCAGGAAGGTAGAAAAACCGAAGATACAGTCAGGTAGATGGTTGACTGCTAGGAACGGTAGGAGAAGTAACCAGGTAGTGCAGAAGACTCCTGTGGCTAATCCCATTTCAAACAGGTATGGCGTTTTGGATACAGTAGCGGGGGATGGCTTCTCAGGGAAGTATAGCACTGACCGTCAGGTTCCTGGTACCGTGACTGGCTGTGCTGTAATGAGGGGTATGTCAGGTTCCAAGCGATTGATTGTAATAGGGAACCCTCCAATCTGGGGTACGGATATTTCTTTGGCTGTCAGCAGTGCATCAGGATAGCGTGTTGCCTCCCTGGTACCAGGGTCAAGGATGTCTCTGAGATGGTGCAGAATGTTCTGAAAGGGGAGAGTGACCTGCAGGAGTTCATTGTGCATGTTGGTACCAATGACGTACGTAAGAAAGGGGATGAGGTTCTGCAGAGACAAAAGAGGAAACTAGACAGGAGGTTAAAAAGTAAATCCTTGAGAGTAGTAATATCTTGACCACTATTCGTGCCACATGCTAATGAGAGTAGGAATAGGAGGATAGAGCAGATGAATATGTGGCTGAGGAGCTGATGCAGGAGGCAAGGATTCACATTTTTGGACCATTGGGATCTCTTCAGGGGTAGAAATAACCTGTGTAAGAGGGACGGGTTCCACCTGAATTGGAAGGGGATCAATGTTTTTCCTGGGAGACTAGCTAGTGCTACTTGGGAGGCTTTAAACTAGTAGGGGAGGTGGGGGTGGTGGTGTAGGGGGAGCCAAAGCAATAGTGAGAAAAGAAAGTCTGAGTCTGGTACAATAGATAACAGGAGCAAGGCAGACGACAGCATGGCAGAGAATGAGGTAAGACTGATAAGTATAACTGCATTTACTTCAATGTGGGAGGCCTGACAGGTAAGGCAGGTGAACTTCGGTTATGTTTGGGAACAGGGATTGGGATCATAGCTATTACAGAAAAATGGCTCAGAATGGATAGGGGAGTGGCAGCTTAATGTTTCGTGTACAGATGCTATAGGAAGGATACTAAGGAAGACGAGGGGAGGGGGAGTGGCGTTTTTGGTTGGGGATACCATTATGGCTGTACTTAGGGGGGATATTTCTGGGAGATTGTCCAGTGATGTTAAATGGGTGATAATGAGAAATAAGAAAGGGATGTTCACCTTGTTGGGCTTGTTTTGTAGGCCCTCCAGTAGTCAGTGGAAAATTGATGAGCAAATATGTAAGGAGATCTCACATGTCTGTAAAAATGATAGAGTTGTTATGGTAGGGGATTTTGACTTTCCAAATATAGACTGGGACTGTCATAGTGTTCAGGGATTATAAGCACTTCTTAATATAAAGAGAATGTATCGCCAACAAAGGCATGGCAGTTCTCGAAGCTGTGGGTTCAGGAACTAAATTAAGACATTACCAGTGATATAAAGGGGCTAAATGGAAATGTGGAGAGGTCGAAAGATTATTGGGGATGCAGGGATAGCACTTAAGAAGGAAACATAACATATGAGTGGTTCAATGTTAGTCTCAGGATACACAATTATTGAGCTGAATTTATATTATATGTATGAAAGTAGTACTGGAGAAGTTAATAAGACTGAAAGTTGATAAATCCCTGGGACCTGATGATCTCCATCCCAAAGTGTTGAAAGAATGGCTTTGGATGTAGGGCAGGTGTTAGTGGTCATCTTCTAAAAATAATTCCACACAGGCTGGTATCCCGTCACCAAGTCACCCTTTACCTACACATAGAGAGTCCTTGGTAATGATACACCTTCCTCAGACTGAACGGAGCCTTTGACACTCCTGTTTATATCTGTCAGCTAGGACTCCCTAATTGGACCAGATTAACAGCCCCCATCAGGGAACTCGTACTCTGAGGCCCAGCTGGCTGACCTTGTTGCGGTCGCTACATCGTTCCCTCCCTGAGTCTGAGGGTATAGGCCGGTTCTTCTTTTTTTGTAGCTTCTCCTGGGACGTTTTAGCACCGGGTCAGGTTCATCTAACTTTCCTTCTGATACGGCCGGAGAATAACACACAGTAGTTCACCTGTTGCGCCTGGAGCATCTCGGAAGAAATTCATTCTCCTCTTTGGGAAGCAAAGCCGTTGAGGCGGCAACATCCACCCTGTCGTCTTAGATTCCGAGGTATCCGCGACACTGGATTGAGAGGGAGAACCCTTGGAACAATCGGAAAGGCAGTTGAGGAGCTGGGCATGTTTTGCTCCTGCACCATTTGTGAGTTTGCACCTTTCATTTCGTTCATGTGCTTGTTCAGGATAATTCTCCAGCCCAAGCTCCGGTACAGATGTAGGACCCGGGGCACCTTTGATCACCCTCACTTTATCTTGCAATGGGTGTATCCTGGTATTGTTGACTCTGTTGCTCAAATAGGTCACTTGGGGTGCCTGGAACACACATTTTTCCCTTCGAAGGCGTACACAGGCATGGGAGAAATATATAAGGACTATGTCCAAGTTCTCTAAATGCTCCTTATTGGTCTTCCCTGTTATTAGTACGTCATCTAGACAAATGGCAAACTTGGTAGATCTTGTAAAATCTTCACCATTGTCTACTGAAAGTTTGCACAGGCTTACAATACCTCAAATGGCAGTCTTGTATATTGGTGCAAACCCATATGGGTATTAATTGTAGCATACTTCTGGGCATCCTCATCTAACCGCAGTTGCAAGTATGCATGGCTTATGTCCAGCTTTGTGAAGGACAGCCCCTGCCAGCTTTCTCTATATACCCTCTATGCAGGGGATTGGGTATTTATCTAGCTGCAAAAAGTGGTTTACTGTTGAAAGGCAAAAGAGTGTATAAGTGTAGTTTTCTTATAGTAGCATAGTTTTCTCTCAGATCTGTAGTAAGGGACAAATATATATGTAAGGGTTATAAGTAAGGATTGAAAGAGCTGCTTGCTGCTGCAGAGACAGGCAGCTAATTGGAAGATGGTACACAACGGAACAGGCCACGGGATGTTCCAGGTGGGAAATAAATTAGTCTGCAGATGTTAGTGGCAAGGGGTCAGGGCTAGACACGATGAGTAACTGCATGTTTATTTTTGATAAAGGTTTCAATGGACAATCGCCCCCAGTATGATAGTGTAGGAGCCATATACCACTGATCGTAAACTGTGTGGTGTTGTTAGATTTACTGCTCATACTAGATGTGGGTAGTAACTAATATAGTTTCGGGGTTGCGTCAGCCTGTTTGTGTAGTGGTATAAAAGAAGTACTTACCATTGTATTTGGAGAGAGTTCAAACTCCTGAATGAGTCTTGGACCCTCTCTCCTTGCATATACACTGGTGTTTTGCTTGAATAAATTTCTTACGTGCTGCTTTACTTTGCTACCTCCGAGTCTCTAACTGTCTTTACAGAGGTGACCATTTGTTTAAAATCCCCACAAAGGTGAACTGACCCATTGGGCTTCACAATCGACCGGTGCTGTCCATTCGCAGACTGGACTGGTTTGATGATTCCTTCGCTTTCCAGCCTTCTGATTTCTACCTTCTACTTTTGCTTGTAAGGCAAATAACATTAGCCGGGCCTTGCAGAATTGTGGAATTGCTTCCTGGTCAACATGCAAGGTGGCCTTAGTTCCTTTGACAGTCCCTTTCTGAAAAACTTCTGGGTATTTAATTAGGACTTCAATCAGGCAGCCTTAAGCCAATCAAGATGAATATTTGTCAACCAATTTCACCCCATCATGGTTGGGCCCGCACCTTTTACTTTGCTCGGTGGTAACTGAGCCAACTGCTTCTCATAAGAGACCAGAACCCAAGTTGTACCCTTAACCTATAAAGGCTTCCTGGTATAGGTTCTCAGTCTAGGTGAGGTCTTGCACAAACTTAGGGGTTGGAATCTAGTGCGAATTTTGTTAAAGACTGATTCTGCAATCACTGAAACAGCCGTGTCAGTATTGACCTCTGATAGAACCGGGTGATCGTTAAACTGGATGTTTATTTTGATTGGTTCTGATTTGAATGGTGCTAAGCAGTTTAATTGTTCTAAACCAGATGTAGGTGGACTTTCCAGGACGTGCTTTCTCCTGGATATCGGCCTATGAGTACTCTCACTCAATTTAGATCTAGTAGGACTCTTTTGCTGTGTGGAGTCCGCATACCGGCAGTAACTACAATGGCTTGCCAGCCCAGATCCTGAAGAAAATGTAAACTGTTTGGCTGAGGCTTAGCTTTATTTTGGAATTTTGCTGTGGACCGATCTCGACTCCCTCCTTTCAGGATATGTCCTGAATGAGGCTATGCAATTGTCTTTACTCAAGTGGTGTTCCCCATGCTTGGTTAGCCTGGCGAGGGTGTCCACTTCCATTGGAATACCCTTCAACTCACATTCTTCACTTGCTGTATTTTCCAATGATAAAGCCAGTTGTTGTGCCTGTTTGATGTCCAGTTGGGCTTCAGCTAGTAGGTGCTTTTGCAGGTTACATCATTAATCCCAATTTACTGGGGGAGGCGATGGCCTAGTGGTATTATTGCTGGACTGCTAATCCAGAGACCTAGACAACATTCTGGGGACCCAGGTTTGAATCCTGCCATGGCAGATAGTGGAATTTGAATTCAATAAATATCTGGAATTAAGAATCTAATGATGACCATGAATCCATTGTCGATTGTCGGAAAAACCCATCTGTTTCACGAATGCCCTCTAGGGAAGGAAACCATCCTTACCTGGTCTGGCCTACATGTGACTCCAGACCCACAGCAACGTGGTTGACTCTTAACTGCCCTCTGGGCAATTAGGGATGGACAATAAATGCTGTCTATACAGCGATGCCCTCATCCCGTGAATGAATAAAGAAAAAAAATCTCTTGTCGCCACTAAAACATCTCCACAGAGGTCGGTATCCCGACACCAAGCCACTCTTTATTAACATGTGGAGAGTCCTTGACACTGATCTAGCCCCATCAGAGCCAGCTGTCAAGACTAAACAGAACCTCTGACACTCCTGTTTTTAATCTCCAAGCCTAGAAAAACACATCTTTTAAAGTGATCACACATTCTTCCTCCCCTCCGCACCCCCCCCCACCCCACCCACAACATCAAATTCTAATGTCCTGCCTTCCAGTCCCCCCACACTCTACTCAACTTCACAACACAATGTAATCTCAGTAATAAAGGAGGACAAGGGAAAATGGAGAATTACAGGCTTGTTGCACTGACATCAGAGTAAGGAAAATGCTAAAATGTATTATAAAGGATATAATAACTGGATACTTCGAAAGCAGTTGTAGGGTTGGGCAGATTTATGAAAGGGAAATTGACAAAACTGTTGGTGTTTTGAGAGTGAGAGTAGCAGAATAGATAAAGAGGAATTAGTAGGTATGATGTCTTTTGACTTAAGATAAGCCCCCACACAGGATGTTTACAAGTAGAATTGTACATAGACTGTGGTAATATACTGGCATGGATTGAAATTGATGAATGGACTGAAAGCAGAGTAGGAATAAATAGACAATTGTCAGCTTTGCAGACTGTGACTAATAGGGTACCAGGAGGATCAGTGCTTAAGGCCCAAACCATTCATGATCTATATCAATGATTTTGATTTGGGGACAAGTGCAATACTTCCCAGCTTGATGTTGATACTAAACTGAATGGGAAAATGCAGAAGAGACTTGCAAGGGGATTTAGAATGGCTAAGTGATTGGGCAAGAGCGTGGCAGATGGTATGTAATGTGAAAACAATGTGTAGTTATCTACTTTGGTAGAAAGATGTAAATGTAGAGTATTCCTTAAATGTTGATTTAACCTTGGTATGCTTGTTCATAAGTTGCTGAAAGCTAACCTGAATACAAGCAAACAATTAAGAAGCCAAATAGTATGTTGTCCTTTTATTGCAAGAGCCTTTGAGTACTGTAAAAACAATTCTTGCTGCAGTTGTATAAAGCCTTGGTGAGACCACATCTGGAGTATTGTCTACAATTTTTTTCTCCTTTTGCTAAGAGAGGATATAAATGCCATAGAGGGAAAGCATCAAAGGTTCACCATTTACACCACCAACATTTGTACTGTGTGAGTATAACTGTATGAGAAGAGAGTACTGATTGATTGGCAAATCGACTCTAGTAGAGGTGTTGTCATGGAGACAACTGATTTAGAATTGTTAGTTATGCTCACAATGCACTGCACTTGTGTATGCTGGAAACAACATGTATTAATATGTGTGGCCCTGTTCTTTGCAGATGAAAAGTACATGTGCACTCATTGTATGTGTTTTATCACAAGAGAATAAGTGACAGCCATTATTTGGTGTCTTGACAAATCTGAAGCAATTTACCTTGTTTAAAATATAAACAAAACTTAGCAACTAATAATCAGTCATCGTTAACTGGTGCATTCCCCCTGTCAACTTTTCTATCAATCGGAATCCACACGTTAACCAATCAGCACTCTCCTCTCATACAGCCTAAGTGTTATTTTCCCCTTGGAGTTTCTTTTCAATTATCCTGATGAATCCAAGTGTTCTTTTTTCCAGCAATACTTAAGTTCAGTACTACCAAACGACTAGATTTCTAGATATTAAACATATAAGGTGATATGCAGTAAAATGGGGTAGATGAGGAGGTAGAAGTTCTAGTTAAATGTCAAAGCAGATTGAGGGTCTGAATGACCTACTCCTTCTGTAATTTCTTGTGGTGTTCCTGTGTAGACTCCAGGGGAGGTGATGATCTATTGATATTATCGATTATTGGTAAATTGGACTATTAATCCAGAGGCACAGTTAATGTTTGGTCTCCCAGGTTTGAATCCTGCCACAGTAAATGGTAGAATTTGAATTCAATGAAAATCTGGAATTAAGAATCAAATGATGACCAGCCAAGTGGGGAGTATCTAAATTGTTGGGAAAAACCCATCTAGTTTACTACTGTCCTCTAGGGAAAGAATTTGCCATCCTTACCTTGTCTGGACTACATGTGAGTGTAGACCCACAGCAATGTGACTGAATCTTTATTGCCCTTTGGGTAATTAGGGATAGAGAATAAATTGCTGGCCTAGCCAGCAATGCCCACATCCATGAATGGATAACATCTGGAAACATTCTGGCATCTACTACTGGTGAAGTGTATTCACTGCTGCATTGTAGATTATGGGTGGATGTGAATGTTTAAAATGGTTAGTAAATATTTACATTATTAAATCTCTTTTAGCTCGAGATGCTCGAAAGCGCAAGAAGTCAAACTCTTTCCAAGAAAGTACTTTGCATTCAATATAACTGGCGAAGATATTGTCAAAGAAAATTAGCACGATCAAGGCGAGCAGCGACCATCATTCAAGCAGGCTAGTATTGTACCTTTATAGATCATGTTAGAAGAGATTTTAGTGATGGAGTGAAACACTTCTGTGTTTGTCTTGAGCATTTCCAACTCTGGTTAATCAAGAATAAATACAAAAGAAATCTCAAATAAAAGTAAAATAGTGCAAATGCTGGAAATCTAAAACTAACACACAGAAAATTCTACAATGATTGCACAATGTTCAGCACAATTTGCAACTCCTCGGATACATGAGTAGTTCATGACAAAATGCAGCAAGACCTGGACAAAATCTAAGCTTGGACTGAAAAGAAGTATATCTAATTCGCAGGACACAAATGGCAAGCATTGACCATTTCCAACAAGAGACATCTTTGGAGAAACTGAAACATAGTCAACGTTTCAAGTCCAATAATGACTCCTCAAAACTGGATATCTCTCTCTCGGCCTCAGAAAAATTACAATGATAATGAGTTAAAATTTCAATCAATCCAGCATTCACATCTTTCTAGGAGAGTGAGTTCCATATTTCCATTACATTTTTGTGTAAAATAGTGCTTTCTGACTTAACCCCTGAATGACCTAGTTCTAGTTTGAAAAGTGCCCTCTTACTCCCCATGGAGAAAATAATATTTCCTTTGTATCTTTTTGTATCTAATCCTTTTGATGTCTTAAACACCGAGAAACTACCTCTGGTCTTCTAAATTCAAGGGATTTATTAGCTAAAAGTATGCAAACTTTTATCACAATTTAGCTTTGTTAGCTTGGTATTATTCTGGTCTATTTGAGGTGTAGTCCTCCAAGACAAATATATCCTTGTTATTACTGAGTTCACATGCCAATAATTGATTATAGTATTCCTGAAGAGGTGCACAGTGTGTAGAACAGAAGCATAATGTTCATCCTTTTATCTATTAATTTGCAATAAAGGCTAGCATTTCATTAGCCACCTTAATTCCTTTTTGTACATGTGGACTGCCTTTTAGTGTTTGTGTACTTGGACATCTAAATATTGTAACACTTCCACGGTTTTTAATGACCTGCTATTTTTGAAAAAAAAAAATCTAATTTGTATTTGTAGAATCCACTCTAGGTGACAAATTAGATTGAACTCCAGATGCCACAGTTTTTTTTACACAGTCACATAATCTGTCTTTGCCCCTTTGGAACTTGCTTATCCCATCTTCACAATTTAGGATACATAATAAATTGATATTGTAGGTAAAGTAGAATGTACAATACCCTGTTCATTCACTCTGATGATAAATTTCACTAATTTCCCTATTGGTAATCTGCAACTGGCAGGTCTGAAGTGGTTCTTTCCTCCCCTCTTCCTCCGCAACCCCCCCCCCACCTCCCATTGTCCTAAATCCAGAAGTCATATTTGCAGCTTTCCAATTTAAAAGTACAATTTCTTAATGTAGAAGGCTATGGGAAGTTATGATAATTTTTGCAACTTCTTATCCTCACCTATTTCTTTGAATGTCATAAGTTTTGGAAATTTATTCATTTAATCTCCGAGAGTCTGTTAAGTCAATTGCATCATGTTTACTGCTGCAACAAAGAATTGTTAGTCCTGCAATAACTGCCATATGATTCTAACTTGAGTGGTTTCAAACTAACCACTTGAATCTTGTCTACAGCAATCACTCGCTAATGAGTATGATTGCCCGCCTAGGGAATTCTTTATCACTGGTGATGGGTTCTGTGGGTCCTTGTCTAGAGCCACATCTCTGACCACACATTTGACAGGTGTTTCCAGGAGGTGGAAGTAGTCCTTGGCCTTGAGATCTTACTCTAATTCCTTTTCTGCACATCCTCTTGCCTACGGGTGTTCTCGAAGAATTGTGTCCCTTCATAAAGAAGATTCTTCCAAGACTGTGTTTCTTCTGAATGAGGGGCTCCCATGCATTGACATCTATGTTGCTTTTTTGAGGGAAGCCTTCAGGGAGTCTTTGAAATACTTCCTTTGTCTTTCCTTGAACTGGCTGAAGACTTGTTTTGTTAGTTTGAACTCAGGCATTCTAAGCATATGGCCGGCTCAGTGGAGTTGATTTCGGATGATCATGGACTCCATGCCAGTGCTATTGGCTGAAGTTAGTGTGCCTGTCTTCACAGTTGATGCAGAGAAACTGACTCAAACAGCTTTGCTGGTACTTCTCAAGTGTTTTAAGGTGGTGACTGTACATAGTCCAAATTTCGGAGCCATACGCAAGAGTCAGAAGGATGATTGCCTTGTACACCAGGATCTTGGTATCTGCACGGATGTCTCAGTCATTGAATGTTCTCATTGTTGGGCGTCAGAGGGCAGTACTTGCAGATCGGGAGCAATGTTGAAACTCTGCAATGATATCAGCCTTAGCTGAGAATTAGCTTCCCAGGTAAGGAAAATGTTCCCTGTTTAGAAGGATTTCTTTGTGATCTTAATGGAGGGATGGACCAGAACTTGCTGTTGTACTTCTATATTTAATACAAGCAAGAAGAAGACCAGTAACTAATACAACCTGTTTCCTGAACTGGAGTAATCAGTTTCAGCTTTCCAAACCAAAAACAATGCGCACAGCTGGCCATATTAGACATTTGTGTATTTGTATCCCTCACTTCCTCCAATCTAACTTCTAAGTTTAAATTTCATTCTTTCCCTTCCTACTTCAGTTCCATCCTCAAACTAGCTTCCCCCACCCCCCAGTTAAACCTAATCCAACTATCACTAACTCCGTTCAATTTTTTGATTATCTCTTCTGCTCATCATAGAACTAAAGAAGAATATCAAGGTATGTAACTTCTGGTCAACTCAACAACAAACTTGATTATCTTAAAAATATCATATGTAAGGTATGCAATTTTTGTAACACACTCTGTCTTGAGATAGTCTAGAAATAACTTGATTAATTTATCACTAAAAACCATTTTTAATTTGTCAGAAAATTTGAAGGAACAGCTATAAATTTTTCTACAGATGTTCCTTCTTCAACAGAGACCATCGAGTGCCTCATATGCTGATATATGTGCAAGTGGGATGCTATGTTAGTTTTCAACTCAACTCGAGGACTTTTTAAAAAAACATGTATTATGAAGCTAGATCAAAAAGCATTAGCTTAAAGCTTTAGATACATTCAGGTTGTAGCACTGTATTTTAAAACAGCATATTCTTTCTCATTTACAGTTCATTGATTTGTTTCTCTACAGCAATCAGATCATGGTTGACCAGACGGTGGATTAAAAAACTTCATCAGGCTGCAGTGGTGCTGCAACGAGCATGGAAAACCTGGAAAGTGAGTTGGAGTTTTGAATTCAAAAATGTTACTGTACCTAGTTTAAATGAATAATGTAATACAATTCATAGAAACATAGAATATAGAATAGCTATACAAAAGCCTCGTTCCGCCACATCTGGAGTATTATGTCCAGTTCTGGTCACCTCATTACAGGAAAGATGTGGAAGCGTTAGAAAAGGTGCAGAGGAGATTTACCAGGATGTTGCCTGGAATGGAGGGAAGGTCTTGCGAGGAAAGGTTGAGAGAGCTAGGGCTTTTCTCTTTAGAACGACGAAGGATGAGAGGTGACCTGATAGAGGTGTATAAAATGATCAGAGGTATAGATAGAGTAGACAGCCAGAGACTTTTTCCTAGGGTGGAGGTAGCTTTTACGAGGGGACATAGTTTTAAAGTGAAAGGAGGTAGATATCGGGGAGACGTCAGAGGTAGGTTCTTTACTCAGATAGTGGTGGAGGCGTGGAATGATTTGCCGGAGAGGGTAATGGAGTCGGCCTCATTAGGGGCATTTAAGCGGCTATTAGATAGGCATATGGATGATAGTATAAGGTAGCGGTGGAGGTTAGATAGACCTTGGGTTTAGGGTAAAAGTTCGGCACAACATCGTGGGCCGAAGGGCCTGTACTGTGCTGTACTGCTCTATGTTCTATGTTCTAGAATATAGGAGCAGAAATCATCCATTCAGCCGTCCGAGTCTGCTTGGCCATTCAATATGATAATGGTTGATCATCAAACTTGGAATCCTGTTCCTGCTTTCTCGCCATACACTTTGATCCCTTCAACCCTAAGAACTATATCTAACTCCTTGAAAATATTCAATATTTTGGCCTCTACTGCTTCGTATGGCACCTTCTGGGTGAAGAAATTTCTCCTTATCTGTCCTAAATGACCTACCCCATATCCTTAAACTGTGATCCCCTGTTTTAGACACCTTGGTCATTGAAAACACCCTTCCTGCATTTACCCTGTCTTGTCCTGTTAGAATTTTATAGCTTTCGAGGCGAACTCCCCTCATTCTTTTAAAATCCTGTGAATATAATCCTAACTGATCCAGTCTTAGACATCAGGCTTACCATCCCAGGAATGAGTCTAGTTGCACTTCCTCCATTGTCAGAACATTCTTCCTTATATTAGGAGACCAAAACTGCAAACAGTACTTCATGTGTGGTTTCACCTAGGCCCTGTGTAATTGAAGCAGGACATCCCTGTACCTGTACTCAAATCTTCTCGCTATTAGAGACCAACGTACCATTTGCCTTCTCCGCCTATGCACCTGCATGCTGATTTTAAGTGACTGGTGTACAAGGACACCCAGGTCTCATTGCACCTCCCTTTTTCCCAAACTATCTCCGTTCAGATAATATTTTCCTGTTTTTGCTATCAAAAAGTATAATTAACACTTATCCACATTATACTTCACCCATCACACTGAAGCATCTCTGCATCCTCCTCACAACTCACCCTTCTACCCAGTTTTGTGTCATCTGCAACCCAGAAGATATTACTTTTAGTTCCCTCATCTAAATCATTAATAACTTGTGAATAACTGGGGCCCAAGCACAGGTGTCTGCAGTACCCCAATAGTCATTGTCCGTCCTTGTCAATAGACTAACCCCAATCCAATGCACTTTAATTTTACAAGGCTATCCCTTATAATTCAGTAACTGTTCACTGAAACTGTGTTACTGCACTGAATAGCTAAACCTTAACAAATTTTTTAATTTGTATATGTTTCCTAAATTACTTAATTTAGAAGTGTTGCATTACAGTGCAGACATTGGATGAGTCTTCTCTAAAAAGAATAATTCACATTTTGAAATATTCTTATATTGGTACAGATTAAATACATGGAAATTTAAAAAATTTATTAAGTACATAGATTTGGATATATTGAACAATAGAAATCTTTAATTTTACAGAATTTATTATATCTTTTAGCTTCTCGTGAATTTTCACATCTTGTGATTTATTCTTGAGTGGCAGGCACTTGTTCAGGAAAAGCAGCAATTGATTTAGTCAGTGGAAGATCCCATTCATAACAAATGAAATTAATGAGCAGTTAATCTACATTTGGGTGGTTGGCTAAGACATCATGAGAACTTTGCTTCCCTTTTGCCTACATTAGAACAATGAATCTACTACAAAACTGACTCTTCGTTATAAAGTGTGTTGCAATGTCTTAAGAACATTGCTATATAAATGCACTATTGTCTTTTTGCTTTTTATGGAGTAATTTCACCTTTTACCATGCACTAAAGGGCCTTTTAATGTCCGCTCAGAAAGACAGCATCTTCCCTACAGTACTGAATTGCAATGATGGTTTATATTTTGTACTATGATCCTGGAGTAGGTCAGTCCCATACCCTCTGCTAAACTGGCACATAAGTTTAAGTATTCAACTAATCTATGCTTTTTGCTGACATCTTCAGATTAAAATGGAATTCTTGGCAGCAAAGGAATTAGATGATACAACAGATTTTAAAGAAATGGAGTTGGTTCGGGAATCTCCTGTTTGCTCACCTTTATATCGGTCAGTGTATGAATCACCAAACAAGCTTTCCCAAACTATTCAACTCAGAGATCTAAAGTTACACGCCTGGCCACTGGGTCTGATCCTTTCATCTGTTTGCATTATTGGAATGACTCCATCCATATCTGAAACACTTAAGGCCTTTACTCGATTGGCTGCCTTGAAGGTGAAATGGAGAAGCAACTATAAGGTGGAACATAATCAGTCTGATCAAGGTATTGCTTCTGTTAGAGCATTACCCGAGGTAAGGATTTTTTTGTAGAAGTAATATTTGTATCCATGTTAAAAATTAGTGATGCTCAATGCTCTATGTGCATTGATGATCTTGCGTAATTGTAACTAAATTTTGTTTCTTTTTCCAGGTGCAAGTAAAGTTTCATTGCAGACGTTCACCATTGCTTTTTGCAGATATTTATCCTGAACACACACTCTGCACAATCATAGGCCTTAACCAGATTTTATTGGAAAAAAAGGAAGATTAATCATTTTATTTATATGCCATGTTCCTGTAATCCTTTCTAATAGAAGTTTGTAAAACAGACATCTTATGAGACCACATTGAATTGAATTGAATGATTTATTGTCACTTTAATTTTACAGTGAATAGCGAAAAGCTTCAATTTCAATCTCTCACACTGATGGAAGCCACAGCTAGAAATGAGGATCAAACCTTTATTAGATTTGTCCCTGATCTACATTATTAAGGGACTGAATTAGGTTTGGGATAAGGTGCATTTATACATTATAATACAAGAAGATAGATTTAGTATTTGTACTATCACCAAAAATTATCAGTTTTAATTTTGCACCTATTGAGCTGAATTCACAAAACTTAGAAGTTTTATTGAACTTCCTTTGTTCAGCAAAATGACATTTTAAAGAAAGCAATACCAGAACAGTGCATTACAGCAATTGCCCAGGGAATATCAACCTGAGATAGAGATTAGTAATTTCTGCCTGTTACACTACACTAAATTTTCTATTAAGCCTGAGCTTATTCTGCCTTTCTGATTGAAAAAATTCATTGCTATTTCAATATATGGAAAAATCCATGTTATAATTAAGTGCCTTATCTCAGGACAGTTGATTTCAACAAAATCTTGCAGTGCATATGCATTCATAAGAGCACTACTGTTTTTTTTTACTTAGAGGTGTCTTAAAATTGGAGGAATGTAAAACCTTTTAGTTTTCTAAATGTGACACACGTTTTAAATCTGACTCCTGTCTTAGGAAACTTTGATAGTTTTGACTTACTTATTTGGTTTTCTGCCTTTACTAATTATAAACAAAAACATGGTTGTGGTATTTACAATGTATGATTAGAGCGATGATATTCTTTGGAACCAAACCAAGAAAAACTATTTTACTGACTTCTTAATATCAGATGCTGACTTTGTAATTACACTGAAAATTTCAAATAACTCTTGCACAGCACTGAGACACTTGGGTTTTGTGTAGAACTGGCTGTTTTGTCTTGTTAAATCCCTAAAGACATGCCAGATACTAAAGTCATAACATGCTATATTATTTTTAGATTACTATCTTTCTAACTTGCTAGGAGATGAATATTTTTGGACCAAAATGTAGGCTGTAGCTTCTCCACATTCAGCCATCAATATTGCTCTGCCTCAGCCAGCAGCAGTCCCTGTTTAAGAAGGATATGGGGTATTGAATGTAGGTTTATATGAAGAGGGGGATAAAAGAACTTTCATTGGCAGCTAATGGTGTTCAGTTTAAGGAAATATAGTGAAATGCCAAGAAAACATGGAGGTCAAGCTCATAGGTTCTCTCACAAAGTAACCATACTTTTAAAAAAGTGCTACCTTTGTTTCTTTCTGCTACTCATTGCCATTTCCTGATGGTCATGCCTAAAACCCCTCACAAAGAATTAAACAACTATTTGGAATCAAGTCTGTCACTTTAGACATTCCAACCGAGGTCAGGAACACACTGTTAAAGAGTGTTGCACGCTCCAGTCTGTTGCTTTATTCTCTATCACCGAGATGCTAGACTGCATCTTCTTGTTGAAACTACGTCTAAGGACTAATTGATTTGTGATCGCAATTCATTACAACATTTTTTTTTGTTTTTTTTCTTTTCTTTCGTAAGTGCAGGAGTTCACAACACTATATTCAGCTGTCATTCATGGAAGTAACTTAAATTGTGTTATGGGCTTTGAATGTAAGATGAGGGTTGCAAGTTTTAACTGGACAATAAAATTGCACTAAGTAGTCACCTTTGGGTTGATAGATGAAAATGTTTAGAGTTAAAAATACTTTGACAAACTAGTACATTTTGTTTCAAAAAAATGTTATTGAACTTTTGTTTCCTGATGTGAAGAACTGCTGCATTCCAGTTCTTCTGAGCAGTAGTGACAATTTTTATTTCTTGAGCAGGGCAGTCTCAAGCAGGAGTTTCTTTTTCCATTCTGTAATTGCTTCAAATCAGGTGTTGCTACTAAACAAAAATATGGGATGCTGGAATGTTCTTTAAAAATAACACTAGTGATAATAGATTGAAATATTTATGTATTAAATATCTATTCAATGAATGTACACTATATGCAAATGAGAAACTGATCTATGTAGCAATAAAACATATATTCTTAAACATGTTGATGTTCATTATTTTTAAGTAGATTAGGGAAGGCTTTTTGACATCTTGCTTTTTTTTTAATGCATTTTCTATGGAGTGGTAGTCTAACTCTTTCATAGTTGTATTATCTGTAAACGTTTTGATCCTTAAATTGGCTTCTATCCTTCCAATTCTATACAGTTTTATATAGTAAAAGCTGAATGTGTAAAATGAAGCTCAATTGATTTCAAAAGTGAGAATTAACTCATAACTGCAACACCCGAGTTTCTTCTTCAGCACTTCTAGTTTCTCGGAACTTATCGTGGGATCAGTACTCATGAATTTGAAGTCATTCATATTTGTCTGGATTTAAACCAGTGACTACAATTTATGCAAGCTCTTATCACAATTTCATCTCCCATAATACAGCACTTTTAAAAGGACACCATATAAAAACGTTTTCTTTTGAGACATCAGCATTCACTTACTGGATTGCTTCCATCCTAAAGCCACAGCATATTCTTGATTAAATCTTCAGGATGTTTTTCCTATTTATTTTAATCAACCTGTTTAGGACAGGTGATCTTGACTCTGGCCCAGAGATAGGGATACTACCATCATGCATGAAGAACGATATGGGGTATTGAATGTAGGTTTACATTGCTGAGGCCCTTAAATGTTCTTACTTAGTTGGACAGTAGCTCCCAAGCTCATGATCTCTACTGTTTAGAACAAGGGCACCAGACATGTCAAAAAACAGCCTACAAGTCACCCTCTGTTATGAAACAGAATTATTAAATTCTAAGTCTTGTAATTTCCCTCTTCCCCAAAATAACATTATGGGTGCACGTACACAACATGGACTCTGACATTTCAAAGCAACTCACTACACTTCAGACAATTAAGGATGGGTAATAAGTATTAACCTTGCCAGGGATGGCCATATACTGTGAATTTTAAAAAAGGTTAATGCTTTCACTGATTAGTTTTTTTAAAAAAAAACATCACAGGATGTAGGTCTCACTGTCTAGGCCAGTATTTATTGCCCAGCCCTAGAGTCAACCACATTGCTATGCGTGTGGAGTCCAGACCAGGCAAGGACAGCAGTTTCCTTCCCTCAAGGATGTTAATGAGCCAGATGGGTTTTTCCAACAATTAACAATGGATTCACAGTCATCATTAGACTCCATTTCAGATTTTTAACTGGATTTGAACCCAGGTTCCAGTACACTGAATCTTTGTATTAACAGCCCAGCCATAATACTACTAAGCCATCACCTCCCCAAGAACCCCAGTAGTTCAAAATCTCACCCATAGGAAGTCTTAATCCTTGTTTAGACAGTACAGGATACATTCATTATTGAAGGTATGAATGAGTTACAACCCACAAAAAATGAAATGCCCAATTACATTTCAGTAACTTATTCAGCATACAAAGCAAGGAAGAATGGCAAGTATTTTAGTAATTTGTCAAATGGTCTTCAAAGTACTTTGAAAAATGAGATTAAAGGAAATAGTTAGAATTGGACTAAATTGACTGTTTAGGGGTATGGTGACATGCAGATGGTATTTCACTTATTTTCATATTACATATAATGGGAGGACATAAGCTTGGAAACCAAATCAGAGATTGGAAGAAACAACTAAAAGGAAGCAAAATAAAAATGAAATGTAGCAACAGATTTTTAAAAAGTGTACAAGGAGTTGAGAAAATTGGATTGTAGTATTTTATTTGGTAATGGTATATAAGAGACAATTTGTTTCAAGTCACTGGTTAAGTACCAATATTGGATTGTTTGTTCTTCTTAAAGAACACAGCTTAAAAAAAATTAAGACACCTTTTTCAATTCAGTGGGGAAAAAAAAAAAAAAAAAAAATTTAAATATAACCAGAATAGCTATATATCTTACAAAGTGATTACAAAAGTATTTTCTCAAAGGTTGGACAGTTTATACTAGGAGACAGCAGTTTCATTTTCTTTCTCTGGGGGTTCAACTATTTGTAAACACTGATCTGCAAATTCCACAAAAATTGGTTCCTGCATAGCTGTCTTCATGATGCTTTCTTTATCCTCCGCCTTGTCTACTGTCAACAGCAACTGTTTAAGGTGTGGATTGCAAAGCAGACCCTTCAACTTCTCTGATCCTGCTGTTGGAACGACAGAAATTGAATGAACAGGAATGCAAGAACATACTTAAACAAACATCTTAAAACCTCAGGCCACTCCCTTGGAAACTACTCCCAAATTCCAAAGAATCCAAGTGACAGTGTGAAAGGGTGTTTCAGAAACAGTTTGCTCTGGTACCATGAACAGAAAAATAGAGCAATGCTGTGTTACTTCACATGATGGATTTTAGCAATCCAGCAAGGGCTAAGGCTGCTTCCAAGCATACAAGTAGTTTAGAGAGGTAATTGAGCTCTAATCTGGGAAGTGTTGTCTGGAGCCCACTGACCATCACAAGGAGTCAATTTTTCCCCTTTGGCTGAGGGCAAGAGTTCAGGATTGTGTATTGATTTTTGGAGAATACTTCTCTATTTCAGGTGTTCCTTTTTCGTTATTAAAAATCCATGTATTAGGTGATGCAATCACACAGCTAACATTACCTTCTATACTTTTACTGACATATGGGGTATTTGCTCACATGCTGAAGCAGAGTTAGAGGAATTCAACAATATCCTCAATAGATTATTAGTTTTTTCTTAAATTTAAAGCCACAGCACAAGGAAAGCATTAATTTCTTACTGGGATTAGTATTTACATTGCCGGCTTTTTGCCTAAGTCTTATCTTCAAAATTAAGTGACACGTCTATATAAAACAGTCATAACTTTAAACATAGCTAAAGCAGACTTATGCCATTGTGTTTCTATATCTTGAAGGAAACACTTTTCTAAAATAAAAAGTGGCAGGAGCGTAACGACAAATGTTCAATGTCCAACAGTCCATGGCAACGGCATACACTTTGGTCCAGGAATCAATAATCAATGCTTGGCAGAAGTGGAGACCAAACCTATGATTTCTGGTTTACAAGACCAGTGCCTCTCCACCAAACCACCGAAAATTTAAGATATCTGGTCAGCATAGACAAGTTGGACTGAAGGGTCTGTTTCTGTGCTATACAAATCAATGACTCTAATACAAATGCAGAGGGATGATATGAGCAGCCACTGCTGGTGGAAAAAGCCTAGTGCACCTGGTATTCCCAGGCAGTCTCCTATCCAAATGGAAACCAGGCCTCAGTCTGCTTAGCTTGAGAGCAAATGAGATCAGATGTTTTCAGACTAGTATGGCTGTAGGCCAAGGTGCTTCTATAGCATAAAGCTAGAATATTTTAACAAGGCAATTATAACCAATTTACTGCATCTCAGTGCTCAAATCACTGATTTAAAATTTAGCAATTGATGTTGTGTTCATTACAGTAGCATCCACTGCACTTTTCCCCTAATTGTAATCTCTGAGCACATGCAACCCCAAGCTAGAGATTCTACTTTTTTGGGGAAGGAATTCATTCTCTATTTCAAACTTTCCAGCTCCCACTTAGCTCAGCATTCTATTGTTGATGGATTTAAAATTTACTCCATTTTGCAGTTTCCTTCAATTCACTCCTTGCAGCCTCTCCTGGCCTTCAGTCATTTTGAAGCTGACTTCCCCTAGGTCCCCACCTGTGTAGCTGCTTCCTCCTTGTCCTGGCAGATGCAACCCACCTCAGAGCCCCCCCTCCATCCCTGGCAAAGACCATGGTGCACAGCTTCCTCACTGCCACAAATGCCTAACTGCAAATTGCTCCTCTTCAAATCTGTCAATTCTGCTTATAGACCACTCTTCTTGGATTGGTTGTCCTGTAATTGTACATTATCATCAAGTATTTTGGGGGCATATTTGCCCACCATCTGTGTATTTTGAGCCCTGACCACTATGAGTACTGTTACACAATAAGCAGTGAAAGTTAAATATTTCTTTTAAGCCCGAGGCAGAATGGTACCAACATTTAGGCAGAGGTAATGGCTTTGTGTCAACACTACTGAGCTACTAACCCACAGGCCAAGACTAATATTTATACTCTGACAGATTCAAATCCCACCACGACATCAGGTGGAATTTAAATTCAATTTATAAAATGTGGAATATACAACTAATCTCAGTAAAAGGTGCCATGAAACTACAGTTGTGAAAACCTATCTGGGTCACAATATTCTTTGGGCAAGCTGCCAGCCTTACCTTGTCTGGCTTATGTGCGATTCCAGATCCACAGCAATATGGTCGAATCTTAACTGCCATCTGAAATGGTCTAGCAAGTCAATCAGCTTAAGGGCAATTAATACAAAAACAGAAGTTGCTGGAAAGATTCAGCAGGTCTGGCAGCATCTGTGAAGAGAAATCAGAGTTAACGTTTCAGGTCTGGTCACCCTTCCGCAGAACTGACGCTGCCAGACTTGCTGAGCTTTTCCAGCAACTTCATTTTTGTTTGATTTACAGCATCTGCAGTTCTTTTGCTTCTTGTGAGGGCAATTAATCTTGTTAGTAATACCCACATCCAATACAAGAATAAAAAGGAGACAATTTGCAGCTAAAACCTGTTTCAAGTGACTGGTTATGCACTAGTTCAACTCTTGCACAACACAGAATATTAAATTAACTAGTTCTAATTACTAAATTCCCAACTGCAAATAATAGGAAGACAGTTTTTGTTTTCACGGTCAATTTTTTAATGTCTACGTACCCAATTGTCTCAGTTTCTCCAGTGGTACCCGATCAGATTCTTCATCATCATCCAAGATTTCATTTGTGCAGGAGTAGTGTCCTATTAACATAGCCAAATGGTTTTCAACAGACCTTAAATGACAGAACTTCAAGGCAGTCAGTTCCTGAATCATAATTGATTATAGAGAATGTGAAAAATAGTTAACGTCTCTAGAAACATTGACTTTTAGCATCTGGAGTTTTAAGTATAACTGAATTCCAGAAAATGCTCCAAAGCATAGCACAAATGGTATTTTAAGGAGAAGTGGATTTATGTGTATATGAAACTTTAATCCGTTTCATCTCCTTTGGATGCGGTCAATCTTTTATTATCCTCTCCTACATGCACTGTGTGCATTTTGAGAAGGTGCTGGTGAGCTACCTTCTTGAACCTCTGCAGCCCATTTGGTGCAGGTACACCTCCAGCATTGACAGGGTGGAAGTTCCATGGGTAATACAGAACTGAGACACTTAGGGCTTCAGGTACATAATTCTTTGAAATTTGCGTCTCGGGTGGTTAAGGAGGCATTAGACTAGCCTTCATTGCTCAGAAATTCAAGCGTAGGAGTTGGGATGTTATGTTTAGGTTACAGGACATTGAGGTCTCTTCTGGAAACTGTGTGCAGTTCTGGTTGCCCTGCTATAGGGACAAAATTAAACTGGAGAAGATTCAGAAAAGATTTACCAGGACGTTGCTTGGAATGGAGAATAGGCTGGGACATTTCTCACTGGAGTGTAGGTGGTTGAGAGGAGACCTTAGAGGTTTATAAAATCATGAGGGCATAGATGAGGCGAATAGCAAAAGTCTTTTCTCCAAGGTAGGGGAGTTCAAAATTAAGCTGCATATTTTTAAAGCAAGGGGAGAAAGATTTAAAAAAGGACCCGAGAAGCAACTTTTTTTTAAAAAACAGTTGTTACTGTATGGAATGAACTGCCAGAGGAAGTGGTGGATGCAGGTACATAGAATCCCTACAGTATGGAAACAGGCCCTTCGGCCCAACGAGTCCACACCGACTCTCAGAGCATCCCACCCAGACACTATGGGAAATTTAGCATAGCCAATCCACCTAACCTGCACATCTTTGGATTGTGGGAGGAAACCAATGCAGACACAGGGAGAATGTGCAAACTCCATACAGACAGTGGCCCAAGGGTGGAATCGAACCCTGGTCCCTGGCGCTGTGAGGCAGCGGTGCTAACCAATGAGCCACTGTGCCACTCCAAGAACAGTTACAACATTTAAAAGCCACTTGGTTAAGTACATTTTTAGGAAATGTTTGGAGGGATATCAGCCAAATGCAGGGAGATAGGACAATAGTTGAGATTATGGTTAATGTGGACGAGTTGGACTGAAAGGTTTGTTTCCATGCTGTAGACCTCCTTTTTAAATCCAGCCTTGTTGTTCATTCGAACTTTTGCAGAAAAACATCAAACAGTTTGTGACACAGACAAACGAGTGGGACTCAAAACACAGAATATTGCAAGTTGAGGGATTTATGTTTACTGTAGTTGATAGAGAAAATCTTCTGTTGGCCGATTATTTTGCAAGAGCATTAGCTTGTTATAGTTGCAGTAAAACTCATTCAACTGAACTCATGTTTGTGGCTTAAAATATTTTGAAAAACATTTTAAAATTGGGATCTAAAACAAATTTCAAAACTTTTTGGAACATCTGAAGTTGAACAATTCAAGCCTTATAGATATTTTCCTTTCAATCTTACCATTGTTGTCTTGCTGTATAGGTTTCTTAAGTGGTGGAGAAAGCTCTGAAATTGTTGAAACTGAACCAGACTCCTGGGGTTTACAATCATCTACAAAAATAAAGTGTTGATTTTAGTTATTTTATAGAAAGTACATGCTAAAGCTTTTGTCCAACTTTTAAAACTTTACAGAAAATCTATTATAGAATCTAGCACAGAAACAGACCCTCGATCCAATTCATCCATGCCGACCAGATTATCTTAAATTAATCTAGTCTTTTAAGCCAGCATTTGGCCCATAGCCCTCTAAACCGTTCATGTTCATACACCCATCGAGATGCCTTTTAAAATGTTAAAATTTTGCAAGCCTCCACCAGCCTCTGGCAGCTCGTTCCATACATGCACCACCCTCTGTGTGGACAATTTACCCTCACAGGTCCCTTTTAAATCTTTCCCCTCTCACCTTAAACCTATGCTCTCTGGTTTTGCACTCCCCCACCCCAGGGAAAAGAATTTGGCTATTAACCCTATCGATACCCCTCATTATTTTATAAATCTCTATAAAGGTCACCCTCAGCCTCCAACGCTCCAGGGAAATCATCCTCTCCAGATACCTCAAACCCTCCAACCCTGGCAACATCCTTGTAAATCTTTTCTGAACCCTTTCAAACTTCACAACATTTTCCTACAGCAGGGAGACCAGAATTGCACACAGTATTCCAACCAATGTCCTGACCAATAAAGGCAAGCATACCGAACACCACCTTCACTATCCTGTCTACCTGCAATTCCACTTTCAAGGAACTATGAACCTGCAATCCAAGGTCTTTTTTGCTCAGCAACACTCCCCAGGACTTTAGCATTAAGTGTATATGTCCTGCCTTGATTTGCCTTGCCAAAATGCAGCACCTCACATTTATCTGAGCTAAATCTCTCTGCCACTCCTCGGCCCATCTGACCAAGGTCCTGTTGTATTCTGAAGAATTGAAGGAAAAGTATTGGAATCAACTATGTAATAGCTGAATATGTGGAAAATCAAAATCTAATCAAGCAGAGTCAGCATGGTGCACGGCTTCATGAAGAGAAATTGTGGTTGACTAACTTGTTACAGCTTGTGAGGAAGTCCGAGTGGATAGAGGGAACTAGAAGTTGGACTTCCAGAAGGTGTTTGACAAGATAACTCACAAAACATGAAGTCATAAGATAAGAGCCCATGGTGTTGGAGGCAGTATACTGGCAGGGATAGAAAATTGGCTTATAGGCAGGAATCAACAAGTGGGGATAAGGGGATCTTTTTCAGGTAGCAACCTATGACCAGTGGGGTTCCACAGGGATCAGTATTGGGACTGCAACCCTCAGAAAATAAACTAAATCTAAATTGAGACCTCTTTATTCTGAGACTGTGTCCTATGGTCTTAGGCTCTGCCACAAGGGGAAACATTCAGTATTTACCCTGTCAAACCCCTTAAGAATCCTATATGTTTCAATGAGATCATCTCTTGTTATTTTAAACTCGAGTAGAATCCCAACCTGTTTCGCCTTTGCTCATAAGACAACCCCTCCATACCATTAATGACTTGGGAGGAAAGAAATTAATGTATTGGGAGGAAAGAAATTAATGTATTGTTGCCAAATTTGCAGACAACACAAAAATAGGTGGAAAGGCAAGTTACAAGAGAGAAAAACTGATAGGTTAAGTAAGTGGTCATAAAGTTGGCAAATGGGGTACAAGATGGGAAAATAAGAAGTTGTTAATTTTGGAAATGAGAACAGGAGAATAGAATATTATTTAAATGGAGAAAAACTGCAGGAAGCCGCAATGCAAAGGGACTCAGGGTCAGAAACACAAAGCTAACACACAGATGCAGTAGGTAATCAGGAAGGCTAATGGAATGTTATTTCAAAGGGGTTGGTGTGTAAGAGTGGGAAAGTATTACTGCAACTCTACAATGTGCTGGTAAGACCACATCTGGAGTACTGTGAACAGTTTTGGTCCACCTTATTTAAGGAAGGGCATCATTTCATTGGAGGTAGTTCAGAGAACATTCACTAGGATGATTCCTAGTGGGGAATTCCTAGGTATGGATGGATCGTCTTTGAGTGACATTTAAACAAGTTGAGACTCTACTCACGGGACTAGAGAAGAATAGGAGGTGATCTCATTGAAATACATGGGATTCTTAAGGGGTTTGCAGGTAAATGCTGAGAGAATGTTTCCCCACATAGCAACTTCTAAAACCAGACAGCATAGTCCCAGAATAAATGACTGCCAATTTAAGACCGAGATAAGGAGGAATTTCTTTTCTCAGAGGGTTGAGTGTCTGGAACTCATTGCTGCAGAGAGCTGTGGGGGCAGAGAGTCCTTGTGGATATTTAAAGCTGAGATTGCTAGGTTTTGATGAGGTGGGGAATCAAGGGTTACAGGGAAAGTGCAGGAAAATAGATATGAGGAATGTGAGATCAGCCATGATTCTACAGAATGGCAGAGCAGGATCGAGGGGCTGAACAGCCTACGCCTGTCCCTATTCTTGATGCTTTTATGGTCTTAAAAGATAGATACAAACCCATGAAGTATGTAGACTTGTCAGGCATTGCAAGATTTCCCACTAAAGAGCAACAAGTTTAATTTGAACAACTAAATCTTTTGAAAAAGATTAAGGCTCCAAACAATAACAGTTTGGAGACAGTACATCTAAATGCAGATTTTAATTTGGCCTTGTAATTTGCTGTACATGGATGTTGCATGCAATTATCTTTACAATTGAAGGGGATACAGTATGCTAATTCAAAATCACAGCAAAGTGAGACAAAGAATGTCAACAAATTAAAAGGATGAAAGATGAAAGCCTTCCATTCATTACATTCTTTTAATAATGATGTGGAGGTGTCAGTGTTGGACTGGGGTGGACAAGGTCAGAAGTCACATGACTCCAGGTTATAGCCCAACAGCTTTATTTGCAATCACAAACTTCTGAAACACTGCTCCTTCATCAAATAAACTTGTTGAATTATAACCTTGTGCAACTTCTGAACCTTCTTTTAATACAGCAGACCCTGGATAACAATTTGCATTTCTGGAATTCTGAGCTACACCTGTCAACATCCAACCTGATGGTTATTTGACATCATTTCCATCCCCAACCCATGTAAGGGGAACACTAATCTTAGGCATTTACAATCTATTTTTCAAACACAAGAGCCAATTTTATACTAGAGATAGTAGGAACTGCAGATGCTGGAGAATCTGAGATAACAAGGTGTAGAGCTGGATGAACACAGCAGGCCAAGCAGAGTCAGAGGAGCAGGAAGGCTGACGTTTCAGGCCTAGACCCTTCTTCAGAAAAATCAATGTTTAGCCAATGTTATACCATCAGCTTCAGCAAGTTGAATATTTCACAACAACCAACCATTAAGTAATTTTAGCCTCACAGTAAAACAATCAAAATCATTATTCCAAAAGGAAGATATACAGATACTGGAAATCTGAAATTCCACACTGTACAACTTACAAAATAAGAACAAATTTCTGGAAAAACTCAGGTCAAGTACCAGGTGTGAACAGAACCAGTTAACAACTTAGTTTGAAGAAAGGTCATTGACTTAACTATTTCTTTCCACAGATACCACTTGACCTGAGTTTGCCTAAGAACTTTGTTCTTTCTGACAGTTGTTAGTTGAAGAATAATTTTAGGGAATCAAAGATTAATTCATACCTTTGTGTTTCTTGTAGCATCCCACAGAACAACTGGAAATAAATAAAAACCAGAATTATAATTCCAACAACACTTATTAGCTGCTTGTAAGCATCACCAATGTCCATTTCAAAATTCTGTTGTTGTTTACTGCCCATTATTCTACATTCATTGTTCCTTCAGTTTTCTTTTTATGGCTGTACACAAGGCCTGCACAGTAAGATTTAGACTGCACAGCCACAGAACCTAGCAGGAACACTGGATCCTAAATGATACAGCAGTTTGCAAAATTTAAGTCCATGAGAATAACAGGACATGGTGGTAACATCAGTGAAAACAATGGCCAAGGGCCAGGAACGATAACAGTGACAATTGCTTGTCAAGCCAGAGAGAAGTGACCGGCGATGGTCCCCAGCTGTTGGTGTCAATCCCCTGCATATTTTTAAAGTAACGTTTGATTCCTTAGACTTGGGTTACTTAAGTTCTGCACTTCCTACAAATTTCCAACGTAGCAAATAATGGGACGGACAGCAGCAGATAATGGACTGACAAGTAACTAGTTCAACAGCACAAAACGCAAAACTGGGCACCCACCTGTAAACTAAAGATTCAGTATTCAAAACAACATAAGGCTCCACAGGGGATAAAGTGGAAAGATCCCTGATCTCAGCTGGATCTTGCGTTCAGGGACCAAGCTATTTGACTACCGAGACCATCACAGTGAGGCCCGTGCCGCATGGGCTGTAGGTCTCCCCCATCATGTAGCTCTTCATGGCCGGCCCAGCTCAGGGGGCTGTAGGCCAGGAGCAGGAACTAAAAGCAGGCCGCAGGGCAACCGCGGACTCGAGCAGTAAACAACGCCAGACAGCACTCACTAGCGCAGGCCGCAGCGCGGACACCGGTATTTCGGCGACAGCTCCTCACACACACGACACGTTACCATCCCGTTCTTCAACAGCTCACCCCGCCCCCTGACCTCGCTCACCCCGCCCCCTGACCTCGCTCACCCCGCCCCTTAACCGGCACAACTGACCCCGCCCTCTTTCCCCACAGACCCGCCTCTTAACCCATCCCACAAACAGCAGAGATAACAAGGTGTAGAGCTGGATGGACACAGCAGGCCAAGCAGCATCAGAGGTGCAGGAAAGCTGACGTTTCGGGCCTAGACCCTTCATCAGAAATCCACAAACAGCAGACCCCGCCCCTTCCCCAACATACAACAGACCCCGCCCCTAAACCCCAACACATAACAGATCTCACCCCTTAACCCCACACACATAATAGACCCCGCCCCTTAACACCCCCGGTACACGACAGACCCCGCCCCTTAACACCCTCCACACAACAGAACCTGCCCCTCATTTCCCACGGACCCCGCCCATTACCCCCGGCAACAGACCCTGCCCTCTTTCGCCACAGACCCGCCCCTTAACCCACCCCACATACAGCAGACCCTGCCCCTTCCTCAACACACATCAGACCCCGCCCCTTAACCCCACACACATAATAGACCCCGCCCCTTAGCACCCTCCACACGACAGACCCCGCCCCTTAACACCCTCCACACAACAGACCCCTCCCCTTAACACCCTCCACACAACAGACCCCGCCCCTTAACACCCGCCACACAACAGACCCCGCCCCTTAACCTCATCCACACAACAGACCCTGCCGCTTAACCTCATCCACACAGCAGACCCTGCCCCTAAACACCCTCCAAGCAACAGACCCTGCCGCTTAACACCCTCCACACAACAGACCCCGCCCCTTAGCACTCTCCACAGCAGACCCTGCCGCTTAACACCCTCCACACAGCAGACCCTGCCCCTCATTTCCCACGGACCCCGCCCATTACCCCCAGCAGGTCCCTCCCGTTACCCCACCCCCCCCAACTCAACAGACTTCCTCAGAATTTTTTCTTTCAGAGGTTAACGAATATCTGGAATTCTCTACCCCAGAGAGTCATGGAGGCTAGATCATTCAAGATTTTTAACGACTAGGTAGATAGATATTTGAAATGTTGAGGATTTTGAGGACTAAGAAGATTGGCACAAAATATAAGTTGAGGTCTGGGGCAGAGCAATCATGATTTAAGAGAATGGCAGGGCAGGCGTGTGAAACTGAATGGCTTACTCCTGCTTGTTTTCTTATGGTCTTGTGTTCTTATGTAAATTTGATTTTGATTTTATTGTCATCTGTATTTTACAGTAAGAATATAATAAAACAGTGAAAAGTTTTCATTTGTCACCACAAAATGGTACAATTTTGAATAATTTAAGAATAAGGAAAAAAATTTAAAAAAAAATAGCTTGCAGAGAGCTAAAATCAACAATGCAGATAAGTTATTCCTAAAGTGTTCCATAACTTGTGTGTACTAATATCAGTTCACAGTAATCTAGCTGTGGCTGTACTATGATTCAACAATCAGACCATTAACTTGTTTGTTGGTAATACAAAGCCAGATGGGAAAGTGGAGGTGTGAGGATACAAAGGGTATGCAAAGGAATATATAGTCAGTTATGTGAGGAGAGGGAAAGAGAAGGTGCTAGACGGAATACAATGTAGTGAAGTGTGAAGTTCCTCTTCGGTGGAATATCAAAAAAAAAATGCATTTAAATAGTAAGAAACAAGTAAATGTTTAGAGGCAACAAGGTGCAGGGCTGGATGAACACAGCAGGCCAAATTTAGAGGGTCTGGTGACCCTTCCTCAGAACCCGAAACGTTAACTCTGGTTTTTCTTCATAGGTGCTGCCAGACCTCCTGAGCTTTTCCAGCAACTTCTGTTTTTGTTCCTGATTTACAGCATTCGCAATCCTTTGGTTTTTAAATGTTCAGAGGGATTTGATGTTACTGAGCTTTTATGGGCTGCCTCATTGAATTTTTTTGAAAATCCAAACATAATAAATCCGCTGGTTTCCTTTTGTCTGCTCTACATTGGGTTACATTGTTGATGAAATTCTGGTGGATTTGTCAACAACAGTTTCCCTTTTATAACATCATGGTGATTTTGAATAATAATATTATGATTTCCTCGATATGGATTCCAGCATTTTCCAAATGGACAACTGGTCTGCAGTTCCCTGGTATTCTCTCTCTCTCTCACTCTCACTCCAAACTTGATTGGTGATGATACATTGTGTGACTTCCACTAGGACTATTCCATGATACAAGGAATTTTAAGATGATCCTGACAGTGCAGCTATATGTTTTAGAATTGTTGGATGAAGGCTTTCAGGTTTAGGGGATTTGGTAGCAGTTCTGACGAAGGGTCATTGGACTCAAAACATTGATTCTGTTTTCTCTCCATAGATGCTGCCAGACCTGCTGAGTTTCTCTAGCAATTCCTGTTTTTGTTTCAGATTTCACCAGTACTTTTTCCTTTATTAAAGTAACTGCTTTGAGATTCTAACTCTCATTAGATCATTGACTCCCCCTATCTTTAGCATGAATTTTCAATGCTGTATTGTGAAAGAAAACACACTGCTTTAACGTACCTTTTCCTTTATCCTTGTGTGAAAATCTAAAGAACCCAGGTTGGCTTTTATGATTTTCTTTTTATTTAAATACTTGTAGAAACTGCTTGTAACGGAGTTGTTGGTGGTGTTAGTGATATGTCCCTGGACTAATAATTCGGAATCTTAGTCTAATGGTCCTGGGATATGGGTTTGAATCCCTCAACAGCAGATTTTGAAATTTAAAATAAAGCTAGTCAATTACAAAATGCGAATTTGTCATCCTTAGTTGATCTGTCCTACATGTGACTCCAGATTCATAATAATAATTAATATTATTGAAGTATACATCCAGTTTGGAAGAGTGGGTCTGAGACTAATATTTTAAACTTGAATGAGGGCTACTGTGTGGGCATGAAATCTGGTCTGACCTACATGTGACTCCAGATCCACAAAAATGTGGTTGACTCTTAATTGCCCTCTGAGAGGCCTGGAGGTGAATTTAAGGGATAGTCAACAAATGCTGGCCTTGTCAGTAAGAATTAACAAACTCTTTCAATCTGTTTTTATACTTCTTGCCAGTTTTGTTACATGCTATTTTCTATTTTCTTTTGACCAGCCATTGCTGATTTCTCATGCAATATCATGCATTTTAATTGTCAGTCTGACCTAACTAACTCATACCTATTTAATTGTGTTTATTTAAGTTTAACATGAGGGAGTCAGGGAATTTGAGAGTGAGTGAGAGAGTATGGGAAACTGTGAGGGAGGAGCGACTGACGAATTCAACTCAAAAAAGTGAGTCTGTCAGGGAGGGATTGAGTCTAAGAGGGAGGAAGTGAGTAGGTGAGGGAGAGAAAGGGAGAGAAGGAGTGAGGGAGAGAAAGGGAGAGAAGGAGTAAGGGAGAGAGAGTGTGCGTGACCTCGAGATTGAGCATATGCTAGACACACAACCATAACCGACCTCCCCAAAATCCTATCCGCTAAGCACTGGGACTTGAAGAAATCCATACTAAAAGGGAACCTGCTCATTTTTGCACAGAATTTGGAGTGTAGAGCAAAGGAAGCAAAGGCAAAGTCAGTTTTGGTTAAATGTAAAGCCTTAGCTCAATTCTGGTCCTACATGCATCACTGATAATTAAGGCCACTGATAATTGGGTCTGATACAGTCTGTCTAACTATGCACTTGATGAAAAGAAAGGGAAAAAAGACTTTGCTAGTTTACTCTGCCACTTGTCACTTTTTGATGGTCATTTTTAAAATTATGCATTTTATTGAATTATCAATTTATTAGAGTCATACAGCATGGAAAAAGACCCTTTGTTTCAACTAGTCCGTGCCAACCATAATTACAAACTAAACTAGTCCCACCTGCCTTCCCTTGTCCCATATCCCTCCAAACCTTTCCTATTCATGTATTTATCCAAATGTCTTTTAAACATTGTAACTGTGTCCACATCCACCACTTCCTCTGGAATTTCATTCCACACTCAAGCCATTTTCTGTGTAGAACACAAAGCCCCTCATGTCTTTTATAAATCTTTCTCCTCTCATCTTAAAAATATGCCCCTTAGTCGTGAAATCCCTCACCTTAGAGAAAAAACACCCAGCATTCATCCCTCATGATTTTATAGACCTTTATAAGATCACTCCTCAACCTCCGATGCTCCAGTGAACAAAGTCCCAGTCTATCCAGCCCCTCTTTTTAACTCAAACCCTCCATTTCCTGCAACATCCTGGTAAATCTCTTCTGAACTTTCTCCAGCTTAACAATATCCTTTCTAAAACAGGATGACCAGAACGGGACACAGCACTACAGAAGAGGCCTCACCAATGTCCTGTAGAACTTCAACATAACATCCCAACTCCTGTACTCAGAGGTCTGAGCAATGAAAGTAAGTGTGTAAAATGTTTTCTTAACCACGCTGTGTGACTTCAAAGCAAATTTCAAAGAATTATGTACCTGAACCTTTAGGTCTTTCTGTTCTACAACACTACGCAAGGCCCTACTTTTAATTGTATAAGTCCTACCCTTGTTTGTTTTACCGAAGTGGAATACCATGTATTTATCCAAATTAAACTCCATCTGTCACTTTTCCGCTTATTGATCCAATTGATCAAGATCTCTTTGTAATCTTAATCTTCTTCACTGTCCACTATACAACTAATTTTGGTGTTATCCACAAACTTACGAACCATTGTTCTCATATTTCTTTAAAATTCACATATAATGTCATCCTGTTCTTCTCTTTGCAAAATTTGCTCATTTGCCACTTGAAGAAATTGAAAAATGGCCTCACATGCGAAAACGTTAGACAAACCTGGTTCTGTGCATTGGATTTGATGCAGGGTCCTTCTCATTAAGATGAAAATAAAGTATCTTTATTTTTTAATGTTAAGCAAGTAAGTTAGCAAATAAAACAAATTTTGATGTGGCATTTTGAGAATAATATTTCATGATCAAATTAAATATCCTTTTCCAACCAATACAATTAATTTTTTGTCTGTTAACTGTTTTGGAGTGCAACC